TCCAACTGTGGGCAAAGTTTTACTTAGAAACTCCACATTTTTACTATAGATTTCTTAAGTTACGTAAGTTGTAAAAAGAAGCTTTTAAATTGTATTGTATTCAGCTCTTTTGAACGTCCAACTGCTGAGCCATAGTCCAACACGCTGGCCTAACGCGAGTTGGCGGACTTCACATGTCTTTCGAAAACTTGCTAGGTTCTCTCAGACATGCAGGTTGCCTGACGATGTTTTTCTTCACCGTAAGACAAGTGATAAACATGTTGGAAATAATTCGCACATGAGAATATCAGGGGTGTGAATATCAGGGATTTGAACCCGCTTCACTCGGATACCTAAGCGAGCGTACTACGACTGGGCTACCACTGCGATAAAGCTTTGAAACCACTAGTTTTTTTCCGCGACTCCACTCGCATAGTAAGTAGGGTGGAGCGGGTATTAAATACATATGGCCTATGTCTATCCCATGATGCAATCCATTTCCTCGCCAAACTTCATCGAAATCTGTTTGGCGGTTTAAGCGGGAAAAGGTAACAAACAGACATACAAAGATAGTCTCACACATATATTATAATACATATTTGTATGGAAATTAACGTCATCCCATTTCTCCATAACTGCGTGACAAGAGCGAAAACAAGGCAACAAAAGAACAATATTGCAACTCAATATTGACAAAATCCATACTAATAATATTATAAATGTAAAAGTGTGTTTGTTTGTTTGTCGGTCGTTCTTTCACGTCGAAACAGTGGGTGGGTTGGAGTGATTTTTGTATGGAGATAGTTGGAGGTCTGGCGAGTGACATAGACTACTTTTTAACGCGGGATATTATCTCATTCCCACGGGAAAACACGTTATAATACAACCAAAAAAAAATCATCAGAATAACTTGAAACTACTAAGTTTGAAAATATAGTAATAAATGCTTTTCAATACAATTAGCATTTTTACAAATTCATCCTATAAAGGGGCAAAATATGGGATGAAATTTTGTATGAAACCTACCTTTTTAGAGGTTTTTTTTGTAGTTTTAGCGCAAGCGAAGCCACGGATTCTGCTAGTTAATAATAAATTGCTAATTATAACGCCATCTATTAATATTTCATTAAAAGTTTTTGCTAATGAAAAGGCTCATTTTGATACCAGCACTGAACAGATTTGCAACTCAGCGCTTACGATAACTTACGACGAATTTTACGACACGTTTGGCTCGGTTTGTAGTGACCCTACTTGCTGTACCAGCGGTCGCGGGTTCGAGTTCCGCTGGGGACATTCATTTGTGTGATGAGCACGAATGCTTGTACTCCAGTCATGGGTGTTTATATTTATAATATGTACGTATTTAAAGTTATATGTACATATATGTGTAGTGTATCAACTACCTGGTATCCATTACACAAGCCTCGTAGCTTAGCATGGAACTAGATGGTGCTGTGTGTTAATGTACCAACATATTTATATTTTCTATGCGTTACATTACACTAACTTAGTAATTTTTAGGAATACAAGCGCGCAAAGCTACTAGATAAAGGAGCGGTGGGTGCGTGACAGTTTACCAACGAGTTTACTTTGTATGCGCTACCTGTTGACAAAACCGGTTTTTTCCGGCTCGGGCTGTTGACAATCTCGAGCCAAGCACAGTCACTACAAAAAAGCGCCTACAAAAAAATATCTCTAGACCATACTTGATGTTAGCATTCAAATGTCGGGAATAAAAACTCAAAATAAAACGCGAGAAAATACGAATGGATAGTTTTCTTTTAAATACCAAATATTTGCGTCAGTCTAAAAAAAATATTTAACCATATTTCATGTATTATTCTAAGCAAAAAGGTAAATTTTTAAGTAAACTTTGTTTATCTGTACACGAAAATCTCTGGCATATATCTAAAAAATTCTTTCATTTATGGATAACTACACTAAGTATTTCTGAATTCCAATAGGTATTAGCGATGTTCATCGCGAGTGTAGCCAAGTGCGAAAACTTGTTTTAAAACGAATGTATAATAGTAGTTTCTCTATAATATAATAATATTACGTTCCGAGAATGTCAAGGACGAAACAGAACGTGTTATGCAGTTAATGTGCTTTTTCATTACAGCGACTTATTTATCTAGTTCCTTTTTAAAATCTATACAATATTGGCTATTTTTTTAATCTATCTGTGTACTAAATTTCATCAAAATCGGTCCAGCCGTTTCAACGTAATGGAGTAACAAACATACAAACATACAAGATCGCATTTAAAATGGTAGTGTGGTATTAGTTAGGGTTGCCAACCGCACTATAATATATAGTACTAGCATTGCCCGCGGCTACGCCCGCGTTCATATGACCAAAAACCATTTTTCACCTTCATTTCATTTGATACTCATGTTGAGGTAGTTGTGAAAAAATATGTAATCCGCCATTTTGTGGCGGCGGCCATCTTGGACCGATTTTCATCAAACATAGCTAAGAACACCCCCGACTAATTCACCTTGCAACCAAAAAAAAACTAAATCAAAATCGATTCATTCGTTCGGTAGCTACGATGCCAAAGTCAGACACGTCAAACTTATAACACTCCGTCGTTCTTGCGTCGAGGGTAAATAAATAGGCAAAGACAAAACAGGTCAGTAAATTTTCCTCCTCTGTTTGTCAAACTTTTTCGTGATTTTCTTTTTTTTGTTTAATAGCTGTTGACGAGTTTTAGTGCTATCAATAAAAAAATATCATGGTAGGATTTCGATCACTGGACGGATATTAATATATAATATTACAATGTGGCTTACCTTCGAATTTCAATTTTCAAAGCAAAATCAATTAAAACGAACCCAAGGCTCTTATTAAAAATATAAGCTCTAAAATTGATCTGTGTTTTTTTTCCATTATAATAGCCTTGTTCAAGGCAGTGGTAGCCCAGTGGTAACGCGCTCGCTTGGGTAACCGCGGGTTCAAATCCCGGGTCTCGCACCTCTGATATTTTTATGTGCGGATCATTTCCAACATAATTACCACTTATATTTCAGTGAAGGAAAACATTGTGAGGAAACCTGCATGTCCTAGAGAACTTAAAAGTTTTCGAAATACATGCTCAGTCCGTCCGCACTTGGCCAGCGTGGTGGACTATGACCGAATCCCCCTCGTATTGAAGGGAGGCCCACACCCAGCAGTGTTACGTTAAAAAGGGCTGAATACATACATACACGTAGCTTTATTTTATAGGGACTTCTTGCGTGAAGGGGGACATCTTCTCTGTCCAAGAAAAAATATGTTTCCTGTGATCAAAGAAAATTTTAGTTCCCAGTAGATTTCTGCCTTAAAAAAAATATACTGCTTACTTTTATGTTTAGAGATTCATCTGAAATTATCAGGTAGGTATAACTACTTATTATCCGTATTATGAATTATTAATTAATATTATAAAATATGTGAAAGTTTGTGATTATTTATGGATGTTTGTTGCTATTTCACGCCAGAACGGCTGAACAGATCTAGATGAAATTTGGCACAGATGTAGAGTATAGTCTGAAATAACACATAGGCTACTTTTTATGCCGGAAAAATGTACGAATTTAAAAATGTACCAGGTTTAAGAAAAAAATGGATAGCAAAATTTTAATTTATATATAATAATTACAATACAATAATAGTAAGAAAATTTAGATAATGTTTCAAAGATCTACTTAATAAAACTCTAACTCATTGTCAGACAATGCAGGCTAAACCGCTGGCTTTAGAGCATGAAAATATGTGTAAGAGTACTTTAAATGGGGAAGATGAGTTCCAAGAAAGGATTTTTGACCATTGTTCTTCTAAAGGCATCGACAAAAAAGTACTAGATACACAATCCCATGCAAAAGTTCTCTTAAAACTGTCACCAATTGTGTTTAGGTAATTGTTCTATTTGTAATAAATATACAACAATGTAAATTGAACCTTAAACGGAAAGCTTAAAGTTGCTAAAAAATTATAAATGTTTTCACTTTTCAACTTTTCGAAAAATTATACTATGTGTTTGTGTGTGCTTGTCGAATAAAAATATACAATTGATTTTGTTATGCCTGATTTTTTAAACAACAAACAAAATTTTACAAAAGTATTAGGTATAAAATAGTATAAATATTCATAGTAATAATAATAATGTTTTTTTTTATTAATTTATGAAATCTCTATTTTAAATTTACTTTAAAAATAAAACTAAATTAAATATTTACTAAATGTAAATATAAATTGCATTTTAAATGTGCAATATATTAGATCAATTTAAAATTTCCTCGATCTAAAAATAGTAGCAAAGCGCTCAATAAACTCGTAAACACATGCGCTATCGAACTTCTAGTATAAGACAATAAATGAAATAGACACTTCAAATTATAAATCATTCAACAAACATACAGCTCTTAAAATTAGTCGTATTACATCTACGTAAATGTTCCGTCACTTTCTGTCATTGAAGACAATTTATACCCGTCTCTTTCCAACAGGGCACAGAAAAAAAAATACTACTGATTAATGGCCGTACTTTGACATTTGGACGTATTTTGCGAAATGTTACAATTCTTTATATTTTTATGAATTAAAACTAAATATAAAATGTAGTTATACAATACTTTATCGTGTAATAACTTTTGCTCTACGTATTACTTATACCAAAGATCAAATATCAAAGACCTAGTCAAGTGAATCAGGTGTCCTAAATTTTGTTTCCCCATATCTGGATCATGGTGTTTATTAAAATAATAACTCGAATATATGCTTTAATTTAAGTTCCTGTGTAAACAAACAGACAAATTAATATATAACTGTATATCGTGTCATAAACTAAGAAATTTAATTATGATATAAAGTATTCGAAGTGTAAATATTTGCTTCATTAAGCTCGTAGTTTATTGGTGCAACTTTTATGGTGTTGTGGTGTCATAAAATACCTTTGATCATATTTGTGGATAAAAAGTTATTGCCATGGACTCTTAAAATTGATTTTTAATTGATTTGTAAGTGAATAAAGTATTACAATGGTTACAATGAATTCTTCTGAAAAGGCGCAGAAAGCCTGTCAGCAAGGCCCTTCAAGGTATAATATTATTTTATACGACACTTATTATTAATACGAAAGTATGTATGTTTGTTACTTCGTCACAATTAAACAGCTGAACGGATTTGGATGAAATTAAAAATACATATAGGCTCTTTTAAGGTTTTTAGGAATGCCTGAGCGAAGCCTAAACTCCCAAGATACTCTAAAAGATCAGTTCTCTGAACATTTTTTTAGTGTCATGACTCACCCATAGCTTTTGGAATAGACCTTACCTAATTTTATTCTGAAATAATTACTTTTCTAATAACTATCATTAAATTTCTTCTACTTCACATTTCTTTTGAAAACTAACTAGGTTCACTCAGATATGCAGGTTCTTTCGCAATATTTTCCTTCACCATAAGGCAAGAGGTAATGATATGCACATGAAAATATCAGATATTGGAAATCATTTGCACATGAAAATATCAGAGGTGTGAGACCCAGATTTGAACTTTACTTGGTTTCCCAAGAGGGCAGGCTACTACTGCCGTTTGCCACTATTTATTGACACTCCTTTCTTATTTGCTATCGAAAAATACATAATTTTTATGTTCCTTTTTTTATTAGATGGACAAGTAGACAGGGTAGGCCTCTAGCACCATAAATATTATATATATATATATATATATATATATATATATATATATATATATATATATATTATAGTGTCTAAATAATAGGAGTTCAAATAATCTTAAATATCAAGAACTGAAAATGTATTAGTTAATGTACATATTCTATTTCATATGCATCATTTTACTATCAAATTTCAACTTTAATAAATAAAATTAGCTTCGCTGATATCTTGTAATATGTTTGTTTGATACTAGCAACTTACCCTCGCTTCTCTTGGGTGCTTCCCTAGGAAATTGCTAATTCTTTTTCTACAATAAAAGTAACCTATCTTACTCCTTATAATATCAACTATCTGCCAGTGAAAGTCCCGTCAAAATCAGTCCAGTCGTTTTGGACATTAGCCAGACCTGGAATAAACAGATAGACAAAAATTTAAAAAATTGTGTTTTTCTTACAAGTACCATATATAATTTATTATATATAATATATTAGTTTACTTCAAATACTATCACAAGAAGTACCACTATTAAAAATATGATTACTTACTGAAACTTAAACATTTTATAATCAGTAATGGTAAATATGTTACTTGGGACTAAAACTCACAATTTTGCATTAGGGTAAAACAGATTCAAATTGTTAGTAAACAGAATCTTACTTAAGGTTACATTCAGTCTAGACTTTCCTCTTTCACCAGTTTTGGATAATAATAAGTTTATAATGTATACTAATATAAAGAGACAGAGTTTGTTTGTTTGTTTGAACGCGCGAATCTCAGGAACTACTAATCCGATTTGAAAAATAATTTTTGCATTAGATAGCCCGTTCATTGAGGAAGGCTATATATTTCATAAAATACCATCAATTAATTAATAAAATGTTTGGTTGTTATATGATGTGGGTAAATCAATTGGTAACAATATGTATGAAAGGCAGTGTTAGTCCAGTGGTAACACGCTCGCTTGGGAAACCAAGTGAAGCGAATTCAAATCTCGGTTTTCGCACTTGTGATATTTTCATACAGTATAAAACATTTCCGATATAATTACCATTTGTCTTACGATGAATCAAAATATCGTGAGGAAACCTGCATGCTTGAGAGAACCTAGCAAGTTTTCGAAAGACCTGCTCAGTCCTTCCTGCACTTGGCCAACGTAGACTATGGCCTGATCCCCCACGTATTAATGGGAGGTCCGTGCCCAGCAGTGGAACGTTAAAAAGGACTAAATACAACATGTATGTTTATTTGTCATTTAAAATGAGTCAAGCCAGTGCATCATACTAGTTTCAAAAGATATAATAGACTATAATAACCATTATTTTGCTGCATAATTTAGTCACTTTGGATGGTAGCGTTGAGTACACTCATCTCGCTTAAAATATATTTAATAAACTTTTGTTTCAAGGGCTCTTCACACTTAGGCTAGCATTTAAATTGAAATAAAACTCTTTAAATAGTGTTTTAGTCGTAGCCAAATTGTAACGCGCTCGCTTGGGAATTCGAGTGAAGCGGGTTCAAATCCCGGATCCAGGTTTGACATTCTCATGTGCGTATAATTTGCGTACGTGCGTATATGTACTACTTATTTGTCGTCCCAGAGCTGGGCACAGGCCTTCTATCAATACGATGGGGATCAGGCCATAGTCCACCACGCTGGCCAAGTGCGGCCGGACTGAGCATGTTTTTTGAAGACTTGCTTGTTTAAAGTTTGCAATTTTTTAATGAATAAAATTTTAAGTACAATTTTTTTGAAGTTATACTTATTTTGGCACGTATAGAACAAATTATGAGAGTAATATTTTTATGATGCGCGCGCACACCGACAGCCAAAAAGCGACATGATGAAGTTAGCTGATAATTGTCTCTCCGGTTCCCGTAAAAACTCATAACTATATTCAAAGTAATTTCTCAAATATTCATAAATCCATATCACGTGTTTTAAATCAGTTGAGATAAAAAATATATATTTATTTTTATTAATTTATCATTCCTTTTACAAACAGAGAGTTGTGACATACTGGATGAAATCTTTAGCTGTTTTTGCTCTGTTACACCAAAGAAGTATAACTTCTTACGTGCGTACATAAGACACACGTTTTTTAGACGATTTTGAAGTGTATACCTATTTATATTTAAAAAGTTTCTAATATTTTTACTGCTATCCTTACTTTAGGGATACAACAAAATGCTCGAAAGAGGAGAAGGACAAAGAAAAAGAGAAAAGGGACAAGGAGAACATGATTGCGAACTTACCACCGAGTGTTCAAGCTCTGATATCTACCATCCCTTCTCCGGAAGAATCGCCCAATTACCTTGTTTATAAAAAAGTAAGTATTTTTTGACGTCACGTTTGGCTCAGTTTGTAGTGACCCTACTTGCTGTGCCAGTGGTTGTAGGTTCGAGCCCCGCTGGGGGCATTCATTTGTGTGATGAGCACGAATGTTTGTACTCCAGCCACGGGTGTTTATATTTATAATATACATATATACATACATATTATGTACATGTTTTATAATAACGGTATGTATGTATATCTCCAACTGCATAATACTATGTTTCTTCGTCAACTTGTTCTCATTTTTTTAGTTCGCTTTTTACGCAGTCGCGTTTTTTTATTTTTGTATTTACATTTTTTTAGTTTCAATCAGTTAGACATTTTTGGTTTTATTTAATAATTTCATATCCTAAATTACTTGAAAACATATAAGGTGCAATCGCCTCTTAAACACCTTTATTTTGATAACCCACTCGATTAATTCGAGCGAAAAAAAATTTCAAGACACAAATTGGTCAATTATATCCGCCATTTTCATTTTTAATGATATCTATATACCTACCCTATAACACTCGCGTTATTAAGTACAAACACAACGAAACAAAAACAAGAAAAAAAAGGAACATAGGGTCGGACATACATACATACAGGTCAAACATATAACCCTTCTTTGGGTTCCACCGCAGTCGGATAAACATGTCGGATTGAGTCGGATAAGCATGCATACCTTGTACATTTATGCAGCCACTAGACCACCAAAGTATTTGATATTAAAACATCGATCAAAGAAATAAGATACACAATCCCATGCAAAAGTTGTCTTAAAACTGTCACCAATTGTGTTTAGGTAATTGTTCTAGTTGAAATAAATATACAACAATGTAAATTGAACCTTAAATGCAAGAGTTAAAGTTGTTTTCACAAAAAAATTATTAAAAAAGCGCTCAAATGTTCAGATGAGCGCTTATTCGGTGAGGACATTTTTTATCGCTGATTGTGTATCTAGTATTTTTTTATCGATGTATTAAAGTGGGCGATAACTTGTAATAAATGTGATTATAATTCTTTATATTTAGATGGAGGCCATTATAGAAATGATGCAGGACGAGAGCACAGGTGTACCAGTTCGCACTGTGAAGAGCTTTATGACGAAAATACCATCGGTATGTGTATTATGTCAAAATTAACCGAAAGGTGAAACCTCCCTAACTCGGTTAATTTTAACCGGAGGAAAAAATTCATGAAACCTTTTCTATGTAACATTTTAAACTCTAAACATTTTATAAAAAACGTGGTTTTACACACTTTTGACAATTTTGGCACCCCTTGAATACTTGGGGGATCAGGCCATAATCCACCACGCTGTCTTTTAAAAACTTGATGGGTTCTCTCAGACATGTAGGTTTCCTCACGATGTTCTCCTTCACCGTAAGACAAGTGTTGATCATGTTGGAAATGATTCGCACAAGAGAATATCAGAGCGAGACCCGGGATTTGAACTCGCTTCACTCAGTTCCCTAAGCGAGCGCGTTACCACTGGGCTACCACTGCCTTATTATACTATATTGTTTCTGTTTATTTTAGGTATTTACAGGCTCAGATCTAGTCGCCTGGCTGACCCGCCATCTTAGTTTAGAAGAGAGCTGGGAAGCCCTACACTTAGCACATTTATTGGCGGCCCACGGGTACTTGTTTCCAATAGACGATCACTGTTTGACTGTGAAGAATGATAACACTTATTATAGGTGAGTAGTGGGTTCGATTTTTGGTCGAGGAAAAATATATGCAGTTACATAGGTGACATAATTCCATACTATGTAGTACAAATGCCTCGTCTCATATAAAGAAATTAGACGTTTATTCGGACTATTCTTGTTTGCTTGAATAGATTATAATTAATAGATGTCGCTAATTCGCATACTTTCGAACTGTTTTGTTTAATTGGTAAGTTTGTTTTTTTGAGCGGAACCCTAATTATTTTTAAAAAATAATAGTGGCCTAAGTTACTCCTCATAACATCAGCTATCTACCAGTGAAAGTCCCGTCAAAATCGGTCCAGCCGTTTCGGAGATTAGCCGGAACAGACAGAAAGACAAAAAATTAAAAAATTGTGTTTTTCTTATAAGTACCGTATATAATTTCATATGTATTTAGTAAAAAGCTGTTATTTTGACATTACACACAGACACTTCAATTTTATTTATCTGTATACATTTGTTTAAATTTAGAAATTGATTATTAATATATAATTTATATATTGTTTGTTTCTTTGTTTGTTTCAGATTCCAAACGCCATATTTTTGGCCTTCAAATCAGTGGGAGCCTGAAAATACTGATTACGGTATGTATAGTGACTAAGTAAAAAAACTTTTTACCAAAAAAATAAAAACCGCCTTCAAACAAAAGCACTAAAAAGTAAAAAATAACTGATTGGTAGTTTTCATTTACTATACATACCTAATCAAATATTTTCGAAGTCGGTGTGCTTTGCTTTGTATGGCTGGGTATATATATATATATATATATATATATATATATATATACATACACTTTATTGTACGTCAGTAATATAACAAATATAAAAAAAACAAAGTATGAAGAATGTGCAATGGCGGCCTTATAGCTAATTACCGATTTCTTCTAGACAACCTATTGTGTATTGATCGATGTTTTTTAAATTTCATGGCGGCCATTTTGAAATTCGCTATCATGGTTTTTTTATTATCTGTTGTTTGTTACACACTCTTTGAAAATTTCAACTCTCTACCTATTAAGGTTCATGAGATACAGCCCTCTGACAGACGGACGGACTGACAGCGGAGGCTTAGTTACAGGGTCCTGTTGGCACCCTTTAAGTACGGAACCCTAAAAAGTGAAGTACAAAAATATAGATATTTTTTGCGTTTGGTTTTGGAACTTAGATAACCCTAAAACATATATAGAATTCTTCTTTTTTAGCCGTCTATCTCTGCAAGAGAACGATGCAGAACAAAGCCAGGTTAGAGTTAGCAGATTATGAGGCGGAGTCTCTGGCGAGGTTACAGAAGATGTTCAGTAGGAAATGGGAGTTCATATTCATGCAAGCAGAAGCCCAGAGTAAGGTTTGTATGTTTGTTTGTATTTGTTTATATTCAACCCTTTTTAACGTCCCACTGCTACGATACAACTTACAACCATCTCACGTTAAAAAAACTCTGAAGAAAAGTAATGCATAATATTAGTATTATTTTTGTTTATTATATTATTGTATATTAATTGGTTCAACCATTTATTTTATTCGATAAATAAACATGCCTAATAAGTCCCGTAACACAGCCACACATAAAAAAAATTTTGGCCCTGGGGTCTGACTATGTTTACTGTATGTTTTTGAGGTCGCTTAATCAGAATCCAAGATCAGATTGATCCCATGACGTCAGGGTTTCGCCATAACCTCATAAAACCCTATAATATACGCTGTTCAGTCCTGTTATTTTGTTACTCAAACTTCAAACCAAAAAACCAATAAGTTAATTCAAATAGCACCATAATCCTATAATCCCATAACTATATACATACATAACATATATAAATAATAATTTGATGACACGTTTGGCTCAGTCTGTAATGACCCTACTTGCTGTGCCAGCGGTCGCGGATTCGAGTCCCGCTGGGGGCATTTATTACTGTGATGAGCATGAATGTCTGTACTCTAATCATATTTAAAGTTATATATGTGTAGTGTATCAACTATCTGGTATCCATAACACAAGCCTCGTAGCTTACCATGGAACTAGATAGCGCTGTGTGTTAATGTCCCAACATATAAACATATTATATAAACCGCTAACCCCTTGCCTATAATAACGTCACAAATTTATTTAAAATGTCACATATTTGTGTAAATCTAAGAAAGTATTCCATTAATTTATATCCACAGGTGGACAAAAAGCGAGATAAATTGGAGCGTAAAGTTTTGGACAGTCAAGAGAGAGCGTTTTGGGATGTACATAGACCTATGGTATGTTTTTTTTAATCTATATTAATTTTATAAGGAGGAAAGATGTTTTTGTTTGTTTGTACCAAATAGGCTCCGAAACTACTGAACCGATTTAGATGAAATTTGGTAAAAAGATAGTTTGTGACCCTGGGAAGGATGTATAATAGTTTTTATCCAATAAATCCTCCATTAAGGGGGTGAAAATGGGAATGAAAGTTTGTATGGGTAAGCAACTTAGGGATGAACCTAAGCGAAGCGAGAGTCGCTGGTTTCCATGTAAAGAAGATTGATTGATGATTGTTTTGAATGAAGCTGTATTTACATAATACATTTTTTAGATTTACACGAATACTAGCGACTCACGTAGTTTTTATTTTTTTTAATTGGAATCCGAATTCTATAACATCAGCTCCAGTGAAAGTCCCGTCAAAATCAGTCCAGCCGTTTCAGAGATTATTAGGAACATACAGACAGATAGACAAAAATTAAGATTAGATAAATAAAATTGAAGTGGATGTAGGTAATTTCAAAATAACAGCCTTTTACTAAGTGCCTATAAAATTATCTATAGTACACGTACGTTACTTATAAGAAAAACATAATTTTTACAGTTTTTGCTATCTGTCCGTCTATCTGTTTCGTTTCGGCTAAACTCCAAAACGGCTTTACTGATTTTGACGGCACTTTCATTGGCAGATAGTTGATGTTATAAGGAGTAACTTAGGCTGCTTTTATTTTAGAAAAAGAATTGGGGTTCCGCTCAAAAAATTAAAACGTACTTAGGGACGCACCGAACGAAGTGAGAAGCGCGAGAAGCGAGTCGCTAGTGTATAATATTAGTGTTATTGATGTTTTTTCAGCCCGGTTGTGTGAATACCACCGAAATGGACCCCAAAAAATTATCTAGGATCAATGCGATCAAGGCCAAGAGATTGAAGCAAAGACAAGACCTTATATTGCAGCATAATCTAAAGGTATGTATGTTTGTTTGTCAATTGTTTTATTGTATGTACATAGTTTTCTTTTGTTAAATTGTGTTTTTTCAGAAAATTTATAAATTTATTTTAAAGTTAGAAAGCAAAACCTTATCGACATACAAAATTGTATTCAAAACGTTAGAGCCGTTTCCGAGATATACGAAATATATCCTAACACGCAGACGCACACACACACACACACACACACAAACACACGCAACGCACACACATTATTTATTAATTTCAAAAGATGTTACTCAATATCTTCGTCAATTTTGAACAGCCGTCGGTTTCGCTTTTGACTGACTTTGAAAAAAGAGGTGTTTCTGTCTCTCTGTTTGAAAATGTATGTGTTTATTTCCAGAACAATCCAATAGTAACAATAACAAACGCTCAGGAGAGCGAAGAGGCGATACAGAAGAACGCTGAGAAGGCGAATGAGAATGCTGGCAAAGAAAACGGTGAGTCACAAGTTGATGTTAGTTTTAACTAACCATCGATTAAAACAGTACCTAGATACACAATCAGCGATAAAAAATGTCCTCACAAAATGAGCGCTTATTTGAACATTTGAGCGCGCTTTTAAATTTATTTATTTTTGTGAAAACTACTTTAAGCATTGCATTTAAGGTTCAATTTACATTGTTGTATATTTATTTCAACTAGAACAATACCTAAACACAATTGGTGACAGTTTAAAGAGAACTTTTGCATGGGATTGTGTATCTAGTACCTTTTTGATCAACGTTTCGAATTCTTTACGGTAAGCATGGTCACGGAAGAGACTGGCTGAACGTTGGGAACCAAAAATCAAAATTAATCCGCGAAATAATCCGAAAAAATAGTTTTATTTAAATATATCAAATATTCGCGTAAATCTAAGAAAGTATTAAAGTATTAAATGTTTTTTTTTCTTCAGGTGAAACTTCCCAACAACCAGATGCAACAGATAACGAAAAAACCATAGAGCAACAAATAGAGGCGGCAAAAAGACAATTGTCTGTGCTCAAAGCGAGGATGGAGAGACGCAATGTTAGAGTGAGCAAGGTGGCTGAGATGTGAGTATGTTTATATTTATTGAAGTGAAAACTTGTATAAGCAGGTTTGTTTGTATGGGGAGTAAATCCATGTAAGTTGTCATCGACATGGTCACGTGACGTGTTAACGCTAACACTTAAGAGTGCCGATAGATGTCGAAACCAGATAAATGTAAGCAATTTTCATTTACAAATTTTAATTTAAGATCAAACAATTAATTTGAATATCCAAAAATAACAACAGTTTGTTTATAGTTTTAAGTATCACTTCTGTCGGCAGTCCTCGTGACTGCTTTTTATTCAATGAAGATACAGTTGTTAAAACGTTATATTTATAACATCTTATCTAAACCCCTAATCCTACTAATATTATAAATGTGACAGTTTGTGAGTATGTATGAATGTTTGTTACTCTATCACGCCAGGACGGCTGAACGGATTTGGATGAAATTTGGTACAGAGATAGGTTACAGTGTGGAATAGCACATAGGTTGCTTTTTATTCCGGAATAATGTACGGTTCCCGTGGGAAAGATTTGTTTTTGTAAGGACGAACCCGAAGTGAAGCCAGGGTGAGCCGCTAGTTTATAATAAAAATAACTACTTAATTATTATTTATTTATTATTCTTTTTAGGTTCATATCCTACTGCGAGCAGTACGCCGAATATGACGCGTTCCTGACTCCCCCCGAGTGGCCCAACCCCTGGATCAGTGACACCACCGAGCTGTGGGATCAGGAGAAACAGTGGTGAGTGGAAACAAAACCACACAAACACACCAACAAACACAGTAGTTGTCCGGTGCACATGCCGAATTAATTATTGTGAAAAAAGTGGTGTGTTACTGTGTGTGTACGTGTGTCTCTGTGTGTGTGTGTGTGTGTGAATAAAACAAGTTACAAAAGGTTGCTGTTATTAAAAAAAAAGATGTCGGCTCCTGATTCTATACATACATATAGTATATAGGGTTCAGAAATACAAATGAAAGCAATGAAAAACACATCGACTCTTTATTTATTCCTAAAACCTCAAAATAAATACAGTTTAATTCAAAACAATCAATCTGTTTGACAGAGGGACATTTTAGAACTGAAACTTTAGGATCGTTGTGATTTGAAACTTGATGAAACGAAAATGCGATACGAGAAAGAGACAAACACATAAATATATGGCATTAAGCCGGCGAGAGAATGAGATAGAATACATTGCCATGTCGCCATGGTAACCGTTGTTATTGTTTGACAAATATATAATATTGTATTCTATAAATATATGATTGTAATACGCCTAATATGCCTTATTTAATTATTTGAGATAAAATATATTACACAGGAAGTGAAGAATAATTCTGGCTGTCTGTTTGTGACCGCATCAGGGAAAAACCAGTGGAGTGATTTTGAAACGGAGCGAGGATGAGTAGCTAGTATATAAATAAATTATAACACCGACAGTTATTATTTAGTAAGATATAGGTATTTAAAAATTATTTTTAGGTTTCTTTCGCCATTTTATGATTTTTTTTTAATCCCTCCTTCCAGCAAAGAGCCCCTTCCACTTCGGCGGGTGCGTCGCTGGTCGTTCGGCCTCCGCGAGCTGCTGCGCGACCCGCCCGGCCGGGACCACTTCGCCAAGTTCCTCGGCAAGGAGTTCAGCGGGGAGAACCTCAAGTGAGTGGAGTTGAGTAGAGTGGAGTTGAGTAGTGTAGAGTTGAGTGGAGTCGAGTAAAGTAAATGATTTCAATGATTTGAAGTTGTGTTTATTTAAGTTAAAATGTAATCATTGTTTTAATATTATTTCATATAATTTAAAAAAGAAACTTCCCTAATCAAATTGAAACACATTTAAATATTTTAAGTAGAACTGTCTTTTTGGATTTTTTCGCTTTCGAATATCGTTACAGATAAATAATATTGAAGTGTCTGTGTGTGATGGCAAAATAATCGCTTTTTACTAAATGCATATGACATTATATACAGTACTTATAAGAAAAATACAATTTTTATTGTTTGTTCCGGCTAACCTCCGAAACAGCTGGACCGATTTTAACTGTACTTCCACTGGGAGATAGGTGATGTTATAAGGAGTAACTTGGCAACTTTTATTTTAGAAAAATAATTAGGGTTCCATTCATAAAATTTAAAACGTAGCGAAGCGAGGGTAAATCGCTAGTAAATTATAATATACTAGATACGTTTTAACGGTTAGTATAAAATACATATCTTTGAATTTCTCGGGTGTTCTGTACTATAATATGCATGTATTATACATATAAACCTACCTATCGAATGACTCTATCTATTAAGAAAAACGCATCAAAATCCGTTACGTAGTTTTAAAGATCTAAGCATACATAGGGACAGACAGACAGCGGGAAGAGACTTTGATTTATACTATGTAGTGATAAAAAAATTATACCCTCCAGATTCTGGCTAGCAGTTCAAGAGCTGAAGGCCTTACCCGTCCGCCGGGTTTCCTCCCGAGCAAAGGAGATATGGAAGGAGTTTCTAGCAGTAGATGCGCCATCTCCCGTCAATATTGATGCTGCAAGCAGGTCAGTGTATACAAGAACCGTTTTCTTCTTCTTTCTCTTCTTATTCGTTACAGTCCTGCAGACTGGTCGTGGTCATTATTTAAATCTTGTCAGTGGTAGCCCAGTGGTAACGCGCTTGCTTTGAAAAACGAGTGAAACGGGATCAAGTTCCGGTCACCTCTGATATTCTCATGAGCGAATCATTTCCAATATGATCACCATTTGTCTTACGGTGAAGGAGAACATCGTGAGGAAACCTGCATGTCTGAGAGAACCTAGCAAGTTTTCGAAAGACATGTGCATTCCGCCAACCCGCACTTGGCCAGCGTGGTGGGCTATGGCCTGGTTCTCCTATTAAAGGGAGGTCCACACCCAGCAGTCGGACGTTATAAAGGGCTGAATACTAAAAACCATACAAGATGGATAGGCGCTCCCGATTGACATACTTTTATGTGTCAGTCGGGAGATGGATTCAGGGAACTGTAATTTGCCATGAGATGGCTTTAGTGTTAGATTTAACACAATTTGTCATAAAAATTGATGAAAAAATTGACCATTTGGCGGGACTTCGGTTAAGATCAGAAGCCAGCATCTATACATATGTATAATAAAATTCTAACTAAGTTGAATCAGTAAGTAAATTAAATTAAATTAAGTAAATTAAATCTTATTGAAATAGTCATTATTACCGATCCAGAGGCCGAATCTATAGTTTAAAATATAAATTTATAAAAATCACTGGAGGGATTTTGATGAAGTTTGGTATGGTGATAGCTGGTTATCCGGGTCAACATATAAGATTCTTTTTACTGCGGGAAAATATCTCATCTCTGAGAAATCTATACTAAACTTTAAAACGTAACTAGGGTACGAACCCGAGCGGAGCGAGGGTGAGTCGCTAGTATAATATATTGATTTTTATACTGCGATAATACTATGTTTCTATGTCATCTTGTTTTTCTTTCTTTTTAGCTTTTTACGTTGTCGCGTGTCGCCATTTATATATTTTTTTTTGCAGAGAACTCACACGCGTGAAGGTCGAGTCTGGTACAGCCGATAGATATTGTTTTGATCAAGCGCAGGTATTTATTAAAAAAAAAAAGGTTTTATTATTGTTCTTACCAAGATTTATTTTAATAGTTAATATATTAATTTTTTGCTATTTTTTTTTTAATTTATTATATGACTAAACTTAAAAATCCAATTATTTTTTTTGTTTTGTAGTTTCTTTTTAGAATATTTTTTGCTTATTTTGAAACTTGCCAAATATTGTATCGACACTTTAGTTGTTATGACATTAAATGGTCACCCACAAATATTGCTTGTAAAGTTCATTGTTTTTTTGATTTTTTTTAATAATTATAATAACCGTCTTAGGAATATATTTCAAGTTTCAACTTATATGTGTTTAAACTGCACACCGACTTCAATGACGATACGTTTGGCTCAGTTTGTAGTGACCCTACTTGCTGTGCCAGCGGTCGCGGGTTCGAGTCCCGCTAGGGGCATTCATTTGTGTATGAGCACGAATGCTTGTACTCCAGTCATAGGTGTTTATATTTATAATATGTATGTATTTAAAGTTATATATGTGTAGTGTATCAACTATCTGGTATCCATAACAAAGGCGTCGTAGCTTACAATGGAACTAGATGGTGCTGTGTGTTAATGTACCAACATATATTTTTTTTTAATGCGACTTTATTTCAGGCGCACGTCTACCACCTGATGAAGTCCGACAGCTACTCGAGATATTTGCGCTCGGAAATGTATAAGGATTACTTGAATGGATCTAAAAAGAAGGTGAGATTTTATACTCTTGAGACTTTAAAATTAGTATTTGATATAAAAAATATAACGTATTAAATATGGTGAATCTAGAAAACAAAACTTTATCTAGATACAAAATTTGATTCCAATCGTTAGAGCCGTTTTCGAGATACAGGAAATATAAAAACAAACCTATCCCACGGGAATCGTACTTTTTTTCGGGACAAAAAGTAGCCTATGTGTTATTCTGTATGAGCTATATTATTGTAAAGTTTCATTAAAATCCATTCAGTAGTTTTTGCGTGAAAGAGTAACAAACATCCATACACCTATACATCCAGACACAAGAATTTCTCACTTAATATTAATTATTTAAGTTATAAATTACGGTTCCCGTAAAAAAAAAATTACGGTCTCCGTGGGAGAGATTTGTTTTGGACAGAGCAATTTTCCATACTAATCGTTGAAACGCTTATAATATTTTTATAGAATACAAATCGAAGTGTCCAAAGACTATATAGTATTTAGAATTGTTATTAAAGTCAAAACTTGTATAGGCAGGTTTTTTTGTATGGGGAGTAAATTCATGTAAGTCGTCATCGACATGGTCATGTGACGTGTTAAGGCTAACACTCAGAGTGCCGATAGATGTCGAAACCAGATAAATGTAAACAGATTTAATTTACAAATTTTAAGATCAAACAATTTGAATATCCAAAAATAACAACTGTTTGTTTATAGTTTTAAGTTTTCACTTCTGTCGGCAGTCCTCATGACTGCTTTTGTATTAAGTAATTGTCACAGAATACTGCTGTCGTCAGTTCCGAAAATAGCCGCTAGAGGTGTTTAATCACGGTGATGAATCGATTTTGATGAAAAAAAATCTCTTTTCAGACTTCAGTTAAAGGAATACGATCTATCGTATCGTTCACTGGACGTAAGGAAACATCAGCTTAAAAAAATTAAAGAAAAAATGGATTTTTTGTCAAAATTCTTATTTTTTTCTCTCTAAAGATGTTGTTCTTTTAAAGAAAGATAATGGGCGTTGCTTGTGTTGATTTTTCTTTTAGAAAATTGTAAAAAATGAATACTGACTATTTTTATTATTATTGTATTTAAAAAAAACTTGTTTATATAAATTAATAGTATATAAAATTATCTACTTTACTATATACGTATGATTGTAATCTATACATGTTAGAAGATTAGTATCTTTTAATTGTTATTTTGAAAAGATACTTTGTCTTGAAGATACTTTTGTTTAGGAGAAATATTATCGCGTATAGATAATAAATAATAATTTTGTATCTGATTTTATTTGGAATATTATTCAATAACTACGTCATATCCTATTATTAAGCAAAAAAAATATTTTTTTTTGTCTTTTTTCTATGAAAAAGTAGAAAAAAAGTAGTTTACTCTATGGTTTGTGTATATTGTCGCTTTAATTTTAAAAATGGAAGCCAAAGTTTTTGTTTTTCTCTACAAATTTACAAGACTGTCCGATGATATATATACTGCCTGATTTTTTTTTTGATTTTTTTTAATTAAAAAAATGTATATAAATGTTAGATTTTAGACAATACTTTCTTATTTAGGTACTTAGTTATATAATATAAATTGACAATGTCTTAAGAATATATGTGTAGTGGAATTGAATGTTTTTATCCAATTTGAAAAACAGTTTCGATCCATTTCTTTGGAGAATATTCAAGAAAAGCGAATTACTATATATTTTGAAGTTTTTACCCGACTGCGGCGAAGCCCAAAGGAGGGTTTGTTTTTTTTTTATAATATTATCTGTCTGAATACTGTCGATCTCATATATGTATAATTAGAATCATTTTAATAAATCTCCTACTTTAAATACGTGACACTTAAGTTGACCGAAGATAGTGATTTAGTTTTGGATTTAATAAATATCAAAGTTGAGCAACTTCATTAGCATCTTGGTCTTGATGGGTGACCATTTGTACCAGTTTGTACGAGTTAACAGACACACACACTAAAAAAGTTACCATTTTAGGCCAACTGTCGTGTCCTTTACTATACTTAATGATCTATATGAACCATAGATCATTTGATAATTGCAATTTTTTTCTTTTTTTTTTAATAGATATCTACTAAATAGTAATGTTGTAACTACAAATGTATCATTTCCGGGTAAACCCGGGTATAGTTAGCTTAGTATGTAAAGTAAGTAAAAGTAATCATCTTTATTGTAAAGTTGATTAAGATGCTGCCATCCAAGAAATGATTTAAACTGAAATTAAATATATATATATAATGTGACATTTTTAGATTCTTCAATATCTATTACATATTCATGAGCATTATGAATTTATATTATTGCAATTATACTTCTTTTGGCACGTTTGGAAAAAAAATGATAGTAAAGTTTTCACGATGCGCGCGCACACCGACAGTCAAAAAGCGACATGATGATGTTAGCTGCATTCCTTTCACATACAGAGAAAGTTGTGACATACGTGATGAAATCTTTAGCTGTTTTTGTTCTGTTACGCCAAAGAAGTATAACTTCTTACGTGCGTACATACTCGTAAGTACACACACAAGTTTTTCTTTTTAAGTATAGTGCTATTATACCATACTTATTTCTTGGACGGCAGAACACTTTTTGACCTTTGCCTCTAAACAATATGTTTTTTTTATATATTTTTTTTTTACATTTTATAGTGATTTTTTTTGTAGTTCAATTATATTTGATCATTTTATTCTTATAATACTCTTCAGCGTTCCTTAATTAGATGTAATTGTAATGATAAAGACGATGTTTTAGAAAATGTAAATTATAATATATGGCCACCGGTATAGCAAGTAATTCTGAGTTGATTTTTTAATCTTCAAATAAAAGTTATTCGTAGAGTAAAATACAACTTAAACAGATTAAAATGACACTTATTTGTGATATTATAAAATATTTTGATTTGTGTCACTTTTTATTTTGTTAATTTTTAACAAAAAAGTGAAATATTTCATTCACAATATAACAAATAGGTGTAATTTTAAATAAAAATGTGTGATGATAAAAAACTCAGACTATATACTTACAGATACATCATCAAATCAAAAAATAGAAAAATAAAGTTGTAATAGTTTTAAGGTTATTAAAAAAAAAGTTATTTTTTCTTCAAAAATATCGTCTCGAAGTTATACTAGTCGTTAGGGATCTTCCACATTAGACTTAGATACCTATGTATTTAAAAAATATGTTATAAATTAAAAAAAAATAAAAATGATCGCTTCCGGTCGTTGTATTAAGCCAAAAAAATTGAGACTGGATTCTTAGAATGCCTTCTTTATATATATGTCCAACTTGCGAAGACCTCACATGTAAAGGGGATGATTCTAAATTAAACTATCTTTTCGGATCATTTCGCGAATTTATTTTCATTTTTGGTACCCTTTGGTTTGGTTTGGGAACCAAAAATCAAAATAAGTACGTTAAAATATCCGAAAAAATAGTTTTATTTAAAATGTCAAATGTGGTTTGGATACTCTTAGCAAATGAATAAAAACTGTTTTTTTTTAAATAATAAATAAGAATTGTATGTATTGTGTTCAGCCCTTTTTAATGTCCCTCTGCTGGGGGCGGGCCTCCCTTCAATACGAGGGGGAACAGGCCACAGTCCCCCACGCTGGCCAAGTGGGGGCGGACTTCACATGTCTTTCGAAGACTTGCTAGGTTCTCTCAAACATGCAGGTTTTCTCATGATGTTCTCCTTCACCGTAATTTTGATGGCCATTGGAAATGTCTTTAACTGAAAAAAATCAGTTAAATATATAAAATATAACATTAAATGGAGTGCATTAAATTAAAAAAGGTTAAAAATATCTTGTTTACTTCTTGCCGTATGAATTAAAATATAAAAATGAATAAAAAATAAAATAAAAAAATGGCAAACGACTCCGTGTCGAAGCAACAATGGTCTTATATGTAAAGATGGCGAACATTGAAAATTATTTTAACCAAAGTATTTTTTAATAATTTTTTTATATTTTTTTTTAGATCTTTGAATCTAATTTTTTGTTCACTGCTCTTTTTTTTCATTGACATTATTTTTAGGATAGTAAATAAAGCAATCTTTGTCTTTTTTGGACAATCAACATTTAAATTATAATTAATATTTAATAACTCTGTTTGCAACAGATTTTTGTCTGCCATTTTGTGTGTTTTATTCAATAATTGATAGTTTTACATTGTGTCAATGTGTTGTTTAAATCACTAAAGCATTTTTTGTAGCTTTTTTTAATTGTTTTATCAATATTTATTGATAATTTTGTGAATTTAAAAAAAAATTTGGACATCTTTTTTTTTGGAATTATAATTATTACGCACAATATGCAGAAAAACTAAAAAATATATTCCTATCGCATATTATCTCGTATTAAATATGATAATTAGCATAAAATATATATTTTATTTCATAAAAAAAAATATACATAGATGAAAAATAATTCCGAGAGGCATTTAATTTTTTTTTAATTTATTATCTATCACATTCATAATTGAGACTAAATTGTTTATGGTATATGTTATTGTATATTTGTAATTATTTTTTTATTTTATACGTGCGATTAGAATTTTTACCCGACTGCACGACGCAAAGGAGGGTAATGTGTTTGTCCAGCCTATGTATGTATGTATGTGGGTTTGTACCTTTGTGGCACTATTTAGACCAAACGCGTTAATTAAAAAACTCAATAAATTAAAAAAGGTCTATTTTAAATTGAATTTTTGCACAATTAGTAATGTCATTATTTATTAAACCGGCGTTTTTGTGTTAAGAAAGTGTTGAAAAGACTTTAATATGGGTCAATTTGACCGAATTTGAAAATTAATATAATATTATAAATATTAAATATATGCATAATGTAATATAAATTACTATTAAAATATTCCCACTATATTTTAGTTCTTTCTTCAATAAATTTTAACAATATAATTGATGTAAAGAAATAAAGCTTATGCCTATGTCGCTTTTTATTTGTGAGTTCCGAAGATTATTCTGTACATACAAACAAACATACAATTTACAAATGCCTCTCTAAAGATAATAATTTGGAAAATGGGTCAGTTTGGTCCAACTCCAGAGGCCGGGTTAAAATAATATAATTTTATCTTAAATGTATACATATATAATACCTTTTCCTTGTTTTTCTTTTCTAAAATGATAAAAAGGTACTTAATATATGGTCCATACAAAAATACTACATACGGGAATCGAACTCCCAATATAGTAGTTTAGACTTGACTCGATGGTTCGAACTGTTAATTTAGTTTCTTTTTGTAATTTCTTATCGTACGTATAAAGAATTTGTTATATTTTTTTTTAAATATATTTATCATATATTGTACACAGTCAGCGTTAATAATTAGGTCATTGATGATTTTAATTTAAGCTATTATAATTGTCTCAAGCGGAAATCGAACGTGTTTTCTATTTGCAAGACTATAATTTCAGCTCAAAAGTAACATAAATTTAAAGTAATTTAAATTGTGAAGTTGACATAATTGCAAGGGTTGAGGTTTTCATTCGATGTTGGCTGAAGGTGGGTGGGATCTACATCTTGTTTTATTATTTTTGACATTAATCGATATTATTACAATATTATAAATACAATTGTTTGTATGTATGTGTTTGTTACTTGTTACGTCGACGTGGAAACGGCTGGACTGATTTGGATGATTTTTTGGATATATATTAGACTGATTAAAAAAAAATCGACTATTTTTTTCCTTAAATATATGGAAAATATTGTTGGAAATGATGGAAAAAATCCTGTGAAAGCCACAGCCCTTAATGTTAATATTAAAATATCTCGCATGATAAATTTCAATTTCCCATATGATTAACATGGGAAAGCTTGTTTTTTTTTTAATTTAGAATTTTATAACTCTTTAATGGTTCATCAAAAAGGCTGGACCGATTTTTATGGTCTTTGTTTTGTTGGATTTCTTTTCATCCCGAATAGCAGAATAACTATTAAAACATCAGAAAAATTCATGAAAAAAAATAAAAAAAACCATTCCGTAATGTCAAAGTGTCAAAACGTATCTAGGAACGAACCTGAGCGAGGCGAGGGCGAGTCGCTAGTTATAAATAAAAAAGGAACTAAGGCGCTAGTATAAGTATAAATTACAGCATTCTGTACTGAATTTTTGAAATTAAGGAGTTATATTTAAAAAGAAATTAAATTCCTGTTAAAATATCAGCGATACTAACTGAAGTACACGTTCAATTTCCGGTTGATGTTAATATTGTTTTAATAAAAAATGTACGACGCTGACTGTACTTAGTTCGTGTCATAGTTACGTGTATAGAGGTTAGTACCAAAGCAAAATAAATTATTTTAAAATCTATTACTTATTTTATTTCATCTTATTATAATAGCCTTTACATATTACGCCCAGCCGTGATGTAAAATGGTGAGTAAAATAATTTTTAAAATTTTTGTCTGTTTTTCTGTGCGTTTCTGCGCGCTAATCTCAGAAACATACATTTTTTTGTATCATCAACATAAATTTTCTGTTTAATTCAAACGATATAGAAGATTTTTCTACATTTTCATTTAATTGAGCCAATTTTCCTTGTCCTATAATATTTGTATAGTTGGAATTAGAATTGCGCGCAAACGAGAGGCTGTTTATTTTTAGTTACCTACGTCTGTCTTTATACGATTATCATTATAATTAGCACGCGTCATAAAATAAGGTTCCAACGAGAAATTAAATTAAAAATTTAAAGAACCTACAATAAAATAATCTATTTATTGAGGCCAATTCAATAAGCCTAAACATGATATCTCTGTAGTGTTTTAGTGAGGAGTTGAGTATCTTGCAGATTCCGGGTGACGCTGCAGCATCAGGTCAAGGTCACCATATCGTTGCAATGTCATTGAAGTAACAGGATACCAAGTTACGAATGGGTTATATCTGTGGAAGTTGCTCATATCCTTTTATGTAAAAAAAGCTGATAGCCTGCAAACGGCTGAACAGATTTTCTTCATTTATAGATTAGAACACTCTTAATTAAATTGCCTTTTAAACAAAAAAAACGAAATTAAAATCGGTTCATCCGTTTGGGCGCTACGATGCCACAGACAAACAGCAGATACACACGTTAAACTTATAACACCACTCTTTGTGTCGGGGGTTAAAAAAAAGGTTTGAAAATTACTTTGTTTTAAACCTTAAAGTCTCGGACTTGTTGATGGTTAACTTTGAATTCCTGCTGCGATTCTGATAATTTTAGAAATAATCTGCTTAGAAATAGTAGACCCCAAGTTATATGATCTGAAACAGAATCAGATCTGAATATTCGCTTACCTGTGTGTTTCACATTATTTCTGTAAATGCGAAAGTTATTGTGTACGTTAGTCACTCATCTATAATAATAATATAAGATTATAAAGAGGTAAAGTTTGTGAGTTTGAGTTTGTGATGTTGTAGGGGGTTATCTCTGGATCTACTGAACCGATTTAGATGAAATTTGGTAAGAAGATAGTTTGTGACCCTGGGAAGAACAAAGTATACTTTTTATCCCGGAAATCATCCCTTAAGGGGATGAAAATGGGGATGAGAAGGGTGAAAATAGGTATATAAATACATAGTGAGTCGCTGTATAACAGTATAACATAAAACCCAAGAGTTTTTTTTGTAGATCGAACGCGAGCGTAGCCGCGGGTCCTGCTAATTTACTATGAAACTGCTGGACAGATTTGGATGTAATTTAGTACACAGACTGACATATAGATCTTTGACTGTTAATAATAAAACTTATCAAAAGGTGGCGCTGAAGGTAGGGTATCACTAGTTAGCTGTAACAGTACGCATATATTTTACAGACCCACGACAACAAGCAACGCCGCAGAATAGCACGTGTAAAAAATAACAAAGGTAGGTATATACATAAAATTATAACGAATCGCCAGCAATATTCACCCTTTGAATATAATAAGGCAATTAATATATTTGTACAGATGTTTTAAAAACGAATAGAAGAGATATTATAAAGCTTGAATTCAACTTATATTTTTTTAGGTGGATAAAGACTTCAGTCTGGCCACATCGCCACAATGGATATACGTTTTTGCGTATACATCGTGGCCTTGCTACATGTAAGTAACTTAAAGTATCTTACAAGTATCTTATAAGTATCTTATAAATATCTTATAAGTATCTAAGTATCTCTAGTGATAGTGTAGTGCTAGTGTTGTGCATATGATTGTGTTATAAAAATGAAAAAGTCAAAAAGAAATCTTTTCATTATTTTTATCGATATTATTTGATACCTATTGGATTAGATATTAAAAAAAATAAAACAAATAGTTTATTAATATATATACTTTTTACACTATTAATAAATAATGTTATTTAAATATGTATACTTAAACGTATTTTTAATAAAATGACAAATGGCCGCCATTTTGTGTAAGCGTTGCGCAATACATATAATTTTTAAATTAATTTAATCTCTATTTCAGGAAATATAATGAACATTTTGAGTATTATTTAATAAAAATAAATAATTTTATTTAATAAAAGTAAAAAATATGGCAATTTAGTACGAATTTAAATTATTTAAATCCCAACATATGTTTTGGCTGACACTTAATTTTAGTACGTCTTAAGAATTTTATATCTTCCCAATGAAAAATATACGCTTATTATAAATATAAACACCCATGACTGGAGTACAAAAATTCATGCTCATCATACAATTGAGTGCCCCCCAAAGGGTCCCGAACCCGCTATCGCTGGCACAGCAAGTAGCACTACAAACTCAGCCAACTGAACCTCTCTGATTTAGTGGCTGGCATGTACGTACGTACGGCTGCAGAGTAGGAGGTTTTGGGTTCGAATCTCGGGTCAGGACGAGTATAGTTATTGTATTCAGCCCTTTTTAACGTCTCACTGCTGGGCACGGGCCTCCCTTCAATACGAGGAGGATCAGGCCATAGTCCACCACGCTGGCCAAGTGTGTGTTGGCGGACTTCACATGTTTCGAAAGCTTGCTAGGTTATCTCACATGTTTTGCTTCACCGTAAGGCAAGTGGTAATCATGTTAGAATAATGATACGCACATGAAAATATCATAGGTGTGAGAACCGGGAATTGAACCCGTTTCACTCGGTTTCCCAAACGAGCGCTTTACCACTATATGTATATGTATAAGACGACACATTTGGCTCAGTTTGTAATGACCCTACTTGCTGCGCCAGCGGTCGCGGGTTCGCGTCCCGCTGGGGGTATTCATTTGTGTTATGAGCACGAATGTTTGTACTCCAGTCATGGATGTTTATATTTATAATATGTATATATTTAAAGTTATATATGTATAATGTATTAACTATCTGGTATCCATAACACAAGCCTCGTAGCTTACCATGGAGCTAGATGGTGCTGTGTGTTAATGTCCTGACATATTTATGTATAGGTGTCTGTAACAAGTATGTGTTTGAGACGTCTATAACCTTAGTATCTCCCGTGACCATGATTGCTGTAAAGCATTCGAAACGTCAGGAACCAAAAATCAATATAAATCCGCAAAATAATCCGAAAAGATAGTTTTATTTAAAATGTAGATAACCTTTTCTATTATACAAGTATTTATTATTTTAACATTCTGAGATTCATCCAATATGTAACAATAATTTTTTTTTAAAATTTCATAGATCTACACGGCGGTGGCTGAGCCAATACCATTGCGTAAGTTCATATTTATATTCATTAGTATACATATATGTAGGTACATATATTTTCAATTCAATTTCAATTTTCTTAATCAGTAAGTACATCTGCCATGTTCGGAAGATGATGATGATGTTTGACGATTTAAATAATGAACAACTACCTACTTTAATTTGTAAGTAATATTATTAAAGCCCATTTTATTTTCTCGGTCTTCCCACACTGATCCTAGTTCTTTGTATGAAATTATTAAAAACCAGTACTACCGCGGCTATGCCTGCGCTTAAACTTCCGATATAGACATCAGTTTTACAATAATGTATGGAAGTCTGTCCGATTTGTTGACAGTTATGATTAGGTACTGCTCCGCTCCCTTGTGTAGTAGCTTAATGATATATAGCATATAGCTTTCCTCAATAAACAGGCTATCTAATGTAAAAAATAATTTTCAAGTCGGATTAGTAGTTCCTGAGATTAACGCGTTCAAACAAACAAACAAACTCTTAAGAATATCTTTATTATTAGATCTGTTCGATGGTAACAAATTATACAAAATATTCGCTAAATGCTAGCCAATTTTGTTTTTTTTTCTTTTCGTCCCAAATGATTAATATTAAAAAAGAAATCCATTCGTTAGTTTGTTTTAATAAAAAAGATTTTATAAGTAGTTTTGAATGTTTTAGGTGTCCCACATCCTCTGGTAGTTGTGCAACACAAAAGAAGCGATTTAGGTTAGACATTACCTATTATTTCAACAATCACAGCATTCAAAAAATATATTTTACCTAGTGTTTAGATTCCTTTTATCCCTTTTTTTTATAAAAAAGGGCTCTACTAACGCCATCTTGATATTATTAAAGTGTATGGTTTAAAACATTTAACACATTTTCATTTTTCTAAAGTCTGAAAGTATAAATTCGACAATTTGGTAGGTAATTATATAATCTAGGTATGTTTAAAACAATCAGTTTGTTTGTTTTTGATTAAAATAATAGAAATTATCTCATCAAAATAAACAATCTGACATAATAAATAACTTCATGCCTTGTTACAGAAAACCAATCAGCCGAATCTGAAAATCATAGACATTTCAGCCATGAAACCCATCAAGCACATAACGAAGTGAACGGTCAAGAACATTCCGAACATCACCAATCCCACGAATTTAAGAGGAATGGAGAAGAATCTTATAAAGCAACAGAAGAACACAGGAAGAATTCCGAATCTAAAGAATCAGACGAAGAACATCACAATGGACATGGTGTCGTTAATTCTGGTAAGAATCTATCTATTTCGAGAATTTACTTCAAAATTACCGATCAGTGTGCTCAGACACGATGTCATTTTACGTACACGTTTAATATCTTTTGACGACACGTTGGGCTCAGTTTGTATTTGGTCCCAAATAAATGTTGAAAAAAAATCATCCATAAGGGACTTTTGTAGAAAAAACATTTTATAAATAGTTTCGAATGTTTTAGATGTCCCACATCCTCTGGCAGTTGTGCAACAGAAAAGAAGCGATTTAGGTTAGGTTAAAAAATAAGTATAATAAAAATAATAAGGTATAAAAAATATATTTTGACTAGAGTTTACCCTCTTTTTATCCTCTTTTTATGTTAAAAAAGTGCTTTTCCAACGCCATCTCCTTATCAAAGTATGGTTTAAAATATTTACACCATTTTAATTTTTCTAAAGTCTGGAAATATAAACTCGATATTTTGTTAGGTAATTATATAATGTAGGTCTCCTTAAAACAATCAGTTTTTTTGTTTTATTAAAGTAATAGAAATTACTTATTTTATTAAAATAAACAATCTGACATACAAAAACTTAATACTTTGTTACAGAAAATCAATCAGTTGAATCTGAACATCATAGACATTTCAGCCATGAAACCCATCAAGAAGTACATAATGAAGGGAACGGTCACGAAAATTCCGAACATCACCAATCCCATGAATTTAAGACAAATGGAGAAGAATCTTATAAAGCAGCAGAAGAATACAGGAAGAATTCCGAATCCAAAGAGTCAGACGAAGAACAGAAGGAACATGGTCAACATTATCTTGCTGTAGTGCGTTCCAATCAAGAAAGGCCCAGACATGGACTTTTGGATAATCATCATAATGGACATGGGAGTATTAATCCTGGTAAGAATCTATCTATTTGGAGGAATTACTTCAAAATTACCAGTCAATCAGTGTGCTCACTGCTCACACACGATGTCATTTTACGTACTTTGGAGTTTTAAAAGTTGTGTCAAAATGTCATAGTATTATAATATATCATGTCCATATATTTTGCTAGATTTTTATTTTTCAACGATTGTAGATTGCCATCTTGTATAGTCGCAATCTAAGAATTTTATCTCTATTAAGGGGATTTATTATTCCTGAGCGATACAAGTTGTTTTTGTTCTTTCCATGGATAATATAACCCCCCCCCCTCTCCCCCGCCCCCACCTCTCCCCATTCTTAGGATTGCCGCTCACCGCCCTATTGAAAGATGATAATAAAATGATAAGCTCTTATGAAAGAGCTTATAAGCTCTAGGTATTGTACCTCTGTGAGTTTCTTGTGCAAAATATTCCCAACATGATCACCACTTGAGAGCATCGTGGGGAGACCTGCAGCATGTCTGAGAGAACCTGGCAAGTTGTCTGCTGACATGCTCAGTCCGCCCGCACTTGGCCGGCGTGGCTGAATTATTATTGTATTTTATTGTAGTATTATATTTTTAATGTTGGTTTGATAATAATAAATACAAGTAAGAAATTGTACATAAATTATTTTTTTTACAGCTGGCGTGAATACAGCTAATCAACATCCAATATCAAAATTACTACAGGACATAACAGAAATATCTGGTAAAATTCAATTTCTTTTTCCGGTTTTCTGACAAAATTAAATAACTACTTTATTTGCCTTGGAAAAAATCATTTTATTTTTATTAGAAAAAGAAAAATTAAAGCAGTGTGATATAATGAAATATATTACATATATAATTACAAAAAAAAAATAAACAGAATAGCAAAGATTTTTTTAAATGACGGATTATGAAAATAATAAACAATTCCCCATAAAATAAAATGATACATTTTTTATTTTATGGAAAATTATTTTTATGGAAGATCTCGTTTTTGAAATAATTTGTTTTAATTTATACTTTAATTAAATAAAACTATCTTTTCGGATTATTTCGCGGATTTATTTTGATTTTTGGTTCCCAACGTTTCGAATGCGAAATATTCAAATAATCCGAAAAGATAGTTTTATTTAATAATGTCAAACATTCGCGTAAATCTAAGAAAATATTATACTTTAATATTATTTTTAATTTTTAGATCAACATGAATTGAGAGAAGTGCTCTTTGAACTGACAGGCTTTAGAGGTAAGAATCAAATTCAATTATTTATCAAAAATTAATATAAAAAATATAATTTAAAATGAATGTGATTTAAAATTCAGTGATCGAAATATATGTTTCTTTGAAGAAAAAAAAACTAAAATGTTTCTTATTTTAGTACTTTTATATTTTAACACTTCGCTCGGGTGTGTCTCTATTTACGTACGCGGTACTCGGATTTTGTTCAAAACTTCATAGGTTTTATTTTTTTGCTCGGAACTCGGAATCTCCGAAACGGCTGGACCGATTTTGGTGGGACTTTCACTGGCAGATAGCTGATGCTATGAGTAACTTGAATATATATATTTTAGAAAAAGAATTAAAAATTTAAAACATATGCAACTGTGAACAAAATCTGCGTAGGCCTAGTAAGTCCTGGCGAGTTGTAATAAAATTTATATTACGATAATATTCTTTATAGTATAATAGTAGTAATAGTATAATAGTCCGCTAACAAATATGTATTTAAGTTTGTTACACTAATTTACTAACAAGCTGTGTCAAGTTTCATATGAAAATCTATACATAAATAGCAAAATTCTAACTGAGTCGAATAAATACATTAAATATTTTTTGGAAAATCTTATTGAAATAGTCATTATTATCGATAAAGTTTACAGTTTTCATATTTCTTGTATGTCTGTTTGTTTGGGAACGCATCACGAGAAAACCACTGGACAGATTTTGATGAAATTTGGTATGATGATAGCTGGTTATCCGTGTCAACATATAGAATACTTTCTACTGCGGGAAAATATCTCATCTCTGAGAAATCTATACTAAACGTCAAAACGTAACTAGGAACGAACCCGAGCAAACCGAGGGTGAGTCGCTAGTATTTCGAATAGTCCGCTAACAATGATGTATTATATGTCGTTACACTAATTTACTAACAAGCTGTGTCAAGTTTTATATGAGAATAATTACGTGTTTTTTTTGCACTTGAACAAATAATTGATTATATTTATTACTAGCATTGCCCGCGGCTCCGCCCGCGTTCAGATGACCAAAAACCAAATTCTTAGGTTTTACATATTAGTATACTCTTTCATTACAGTTTTTGTATTTTTTCTCAGAAATGCGACATTTTCCCGCGGTAAAAAGTATCCTATATGTTGACCCGGATAACCAGCTATCACCATACCAAATTTCATCAAAATCCGTCAGTAGTTTTTCTGTGATGCTACCATAACTGTCTCTTAAATATAGTTTACTTTATTTACAGATGAAACCATGGCTTTAGCGTCCATTAAAAACATAACTGGATTATTGCGTAAGTGCTTTTTTTTTCAATTTAATTTTTATTTTTAACCCCCGACGCAAAAATGATGGGGTGTTCTAAGTTTGACGTGTCTGTGTGTGTGTCTGTCTATGACATCGTAGCCCCGAACGGATGAACCGATTTTGATTTTGTTTTTTTTTGTTTCAAAGGTGAATTAGTCGGGGATGTTCTTAGATATGTTTGATGAAAATCGGTAGAAGATGGCCGCCGCCACAAAATGTCAAATTACATGTTGGGGGTTTTTTTAATTTTTAATTTAATTTAGTTCTATGGTTAAATGCAACTCCCTTTATTTTTTGTTTTTTTTTTCATACATTTTTTTATTAAAACCAAAAAAATGCAACCTTATAATTTTTTATAATACAATTAATTAATTTAATTAAGGTGAATCGATTTAAAAATGATTCAAACTAAAAGTACCTATAATGGAACAATTTTTTTTGACTCAAAGTGTAATTAGTTATAATATTGATTGATGACGTATTTTTTGGTGTTGGTCAATAAATAACAATTTTTTCAGAATGTCTAAAAAAGATAAACTTGCTTTAATATTATTATTGCATTCAAAGCTGCGTGAGAAAGAAAAAAAGGAATAATATTTCTAAAAACGAGTACTACTTGGGATTTAGTTTTTTCTATAGTTGTTAGTAGTTGACAAAAATATTTTTTCTAATTATTATTTTTAATAAAGTTTTTAAATATTTTTGGAAAAATTCATTTTGTTCGAAACTTGGTATATATGTACCCTCATAGGTTTAACGCTAAGAACTTCATTGTATTTTAACTTTAGTGTGCGAGTCAGACTCCCAAAATTGCAATTTTATAGAAGGTCTTTAATATTTTTACAGATCACAGAGAAGTGTACGACTTTCTTAAATGCTGCAAAGGGACCAGAGGTTTCAAATTCTTAATACGTTTCTGTAAGAAATTTGAAGGATATTCGAGTAAGTATATATATCTTTTTTGTGTATTTTAAAACGTAAAGTAAAATATAAGATGGATTTAATTATTTTTTTTAAGGTGTAAGGATAGATGCAAAGATAATGGACGCTTGCCATTCGGGATATAATATGTTTATAGTGTTCTTCTAAATAATCGATAGAGGCGGTGTGCCTATTTAATTAATTAAAGCAAATATCGTTAACAAAGCTATACTAATACTATAAAGAGGTAAAGTTTGTGAGTTTCTGACGTTGTAGGGGGTAACCTCTGGATCTACTGAACCGATTTAGATGAAATTTGGTAAGAAGATAATTTGAGACCTGAAGTTTTGAGACGTTTTATCCCAGAAATAATCCCTTAAGGTGGTGAAAATCATTACATATAACGCCATCTATTAACATTAATTTGAATTATTTTTTCTTTCAATGATTAATCGTGTATGAAATATCTGGATCAAATGATGTAAAATAATATTATTTTTTTATAAAACGAAATATTTTTGTAATTTCTAAAAATATTCATCCTAATTTATTATTACATCGAATACATTTTTCATTAAATCACATTTTCTTTTGTTTTCAGATCTAAAAATCATTGTGCAACTCTTGAAATGCCTTACAAATGAAACAAGTAAGTCATTCAAATGAAAAAAATATATTTTTGGAATAAATGTTATGTATTTTTAAAGAAATATTTATTTTAATTTAATGTTTTTATTTTTAGATGTTTTTTCTGCATTTAAAGTTGTTAAACGAATGACTGGTCATAACGACTTCGATGGTATCGTGGAAATTTTACAAAAAATGTCTGGAAGAAAGAGTAAGTATATATTTTAATGTAAACTTTGTCATCTTTTTTAAACTATGGGGTTCAAAAATTCAAAAATATAAAATATTTTATTCAGCATTAAATTATTACAATTGTTTACTGAACGTCACGAGTCTACTATCAGTTCGGAAAGAAGAAGCCTCAGACCTGAGAAGAACTGGCGAAAGAAACTCAACGGGACTTATATTAACTTGTTATCTTTTTTTTAAAGTAAAATTATAATTTACAATATTTCTATCAAGTCGAAGTAGCCTGGAGGCGATCATTTCATTCCCAAGGTGTGCCATCTTCTATAAAATCATTTATTGTATAATAGCCTTTAGCACTTAACAATCTTTTTGAATTTGGCAGTTTCAAAGAGCTTTAATAAGACTTTTATTTAATTACTTACATATATAATATATCTTCTTTCAGGTATATCTGATATCATTGATTTCTTTAACCACGATGTCGATCATGCTCGAGGTAAAATATTCGAATTTTAGATTTTAGAATTTCCACATACTGTACACATGTACATTTAAATACATTTAAAATTACAGAATATAAGAATCATGAACGAATTGTGGCTAATTCGTTCATGATAAGAATCTAATAAAATAATATTTTTTTAATTAATTTTAAATAGATTGCATATAAAAATATATTTTATTGTTTTTTTTTTTTTCCTGATATTTCAAATGCTTAACAGCAGACACAGTTACGACTTACGAGATATGGCTTTAACGTCTCACAAATTATAGTTATTGCAAAACTTGTCTATTTATAAAATTATACATTCATTTAGAAGAACACAGAAAAGTGGCTTCGACGCTCCTTAATTTTTTTTAATATAAGTAATTCTTAATTATAATTAGGGTTGCTATATTTATACAATTTGAAGCGCGCAACGTTGGGAACAAAAAATAAAATTACCCATCTAATAAACCGTGAAAATGTCCAAAAAAATATTATATTTAAAATTTCATTTAATATTCATGCAAATCATAAATAAAATATATAACCACATAAAAAAAAAGAAAGTATTAAATGAATTGATTCAATCAACCCATTGATTCAACTAATTGATTTTTACCAATAATTTCTAGGTATCGATGGAGTTCGTCGTCAAATCGACAAGTTAACAGGAGGTCTCGGTCCTGCAGAATTTGCGAACGTTTTTGAAGCTTTAAGATCAGAAATTGGTAAATATTTTTGATGTTTTTATAACTTTATTAAATACATTTGCGTCCCTAGGTGCTTAGCTGTAGTTTACATATGTGTTACTCCAGGTCAGAGTCTATCTATGCACAAAATTTCATCTAAATTCGTCCAGCCGTTTTAGGATGATGATAACAAACATACATACATGCACAAAATAGTAGTCTGTTTTTTGACCGCAAAGTGAAGTGATAATAATGTATATCTCTAAGTGCAGGTCAGGGATTCGATTGCCGGAAGCTACTAGTTGGTATTGTTTATATTTATCGTGAACTGCGTTTGTACGTTTATTTTATATATATGTATGTTAAGGATCCCGACATTACTTGCTGTCAGGGTCCTAATTGTATATGACTTTATTGTTCTAAACATTATCTTTTTGGTTATTTAAAACTAATTAGCATATATAAATCGTCTAATAAAAATAATTTAATCACTTAAAAAATATTTAACTAATAAATAATATTTATATTTACCAAATATTTACTTTTATTACATTTTTCAGATTGGAACGCTACTTTCAACCAACTCATTACTGTGATGAGAGCTAGTGGTACGATTATAATATTTTTATTATAATATATTTACTTCCTACGTTCACAAAATTTTTATAATTATTTTTTTTACTTTTTTATTTCCTAAATGTTTGAAATTTTCTAAATGAACCATAATAACTTACATAATATTATAATATAAATATTATAATAATAAAACAAAAAATATTTTTTATTTCAGATATAGGCGAAGCTGTCGTTTCTTTCACGAAACTAGTTGGAAGAAGAAGTTCCTCTAAAGCCATCAATCTAATAAAACAAGTTACTGGATCAACGCGTATGTTTACATTTTATTTAAATAATATTGTTTAAAAAACTCAGTTTTTAAGAATACCACAATTTTGCTGGTAACATTCTCGTCTTTCCATCACAAAGTTATTTTATATATTACAGGTATAGTTATAGTAACAAATTACAGTTTATTTAAAATGTCAAATACCCGTGGAAATCTAAGAAAGTATTACATTACAGTCGTTCAAAAGTCATGCGCTTACTAACAAACAGCATTGAATTTTTATTTATATAGATAATTTAGATCATTTTAACTATATACCTAGTTCGTTTCTTGCCTCCCAATCTAGTGGTAGCTTTCCTACGGAATAACGCTCCTACACTGACGCTCTTTACCGACTGCTGACTGACTGACTCTTTACTGCTCCTCTTTTTGTTGGGACATTAACAAACAACACCATCTAGTTCCATGGTAAGCTACGAGGCCTGTGTTATGGATACCACATAGTTGATACACTACACATATATAACTTTATATACATGCATATTATAAATATAAACATCCATGACTGAAGCACAAACATTCGTGCTCATCACAGAAATGAATGCCCAGCGGGACTCGAATCCGCGACCGCTGGCACAGCAAGTAGTATCATTACAAACTGAGCTAAACGTGTCGCCAAAATAATTTTAAGTACTAAATTGTTGGCTCCAATAAGATTTTCTTACGTAATTAAAATCAGTTAAGAATACACGGTGCTAAATTCGAAATTTTGCTAAAAATCATAAACGAATATAATTTATACTGATAATACTTTTTACACTTTTTACTCTGTATTTTTTTTAATTCTACTGCAGATTTGAGATATGCGTTAGAAGAGCTTGTTCAAGAGACTGCTCAAGTTAGTGAGTATGAAGTTTTAATAAAATATAGTAAAAGTTAAAAAAGTATAGTAAACAAATTAAAAATATTCATTTTTATTATACAAATTAAATATTAAAAAAAATATGTCAAAATTATTTTAAAAAAATATAAATTATTTTTCATTTCACAATTTATTCATTTAGTCTAAAATTATTGAATTTATTGTATTTTTTTTGTGTAAGTTAAACTATAATATTTTAATACAATTTTCAGGTCTAAAATTGATGGTAGAAACCTTGTACCAGCTGACAGGTAAAACTGATCTGGAGCACGTACAGACAGAATTTCAACGACTTTTCCAACTCGACAGTAAGCTTTAAATATATTTTTTTCATATATTTTTATAAATAATGTTGATATATTCATTTTTTTTAATAATATCCACAAATATAATCAAAATATATGTCATTTTAAAGATAAAAAAAATCATTCAACTGACATTCTTTCACTATTGTTTCTTAGGGCTGATGTTTTTTTTTTCTTAATTAAAGTAAACAATTTTTTATTGAATTTGGATTGTATTTGAAATAAGAAACGAATATATTTTAATGACAATTCAATTATCTTGTGAATGACTTCAAAGCGGTCCAGTTGAGCACAGATTACTTTGCCAATGTCATGTGGAATGGAGAAGACACGAATTACTATTTCAATGATATTATTCTTATATTAATATATTTCATCACATTTAAGTGTAAATTTTTTTTTCAGATATAATAAAAGTAATGGCAAAGATGAACAAAATCACGAAAAAACGAGACCCTCTTATTGTGTTTGCCGCTCTTCTAGATATCACACAGACTACAAATTTGAATGACTGTAGTGCATCCATTACAGGGTTGACGTTTAGACAAAGTTAGTAATAATTTTATTGTTTATAAAAATTTGGTCCTTCGAGCCAAATTATTTATTACTAGTGACTGACCCTCGCTTCGGGTTCGCCCTAGACAAAAAATCAATCCCACGGGAACCGTACATTTTTCCTTAATAAAAAGTAACCTATGTACTATTCCAGACTATAATCTATGTCTGTGCTAAATTTCATCCAGATCCGTTCAGTCGTTCTGCCGTGATCGAATCCTCACAAACTTTCACATTTATAATACAAATAGGATTTAATTCATGGCCATATGCGTTGTCTATGTATAAAATAGAGTACCAGTATGATAGAAATTGCTAGTAGTACATATATATTATTAAAAGTTGGTCCTTCGAGACACGTTACACAACTTTTCCTTTTCTTATCTATGATTTAATTTTTGTTTGTTTCTATTTAATATTTCATGTTAAAACTGTATTTATTCGATATTATTTTATTTTTAACTCCTGTATTAAAAATGTTTTATTTTTGTTTCAGTGTCAGCTTTGGATATAATGCACGAAATCCAAATACAAACTGGAAGGAGCGACACTTTGGATATTCTAAGGAAATTAATCTCCTTTACCGGTACTAATGGTAGGTAAAACAAATAGGTTTTACATTAAATAAATCTAACGACATTTTTTAATTTAAATTTTTATACAAAAAAAAACACAATAGGACAAATGCTTTTTTTGTATTTAAAAAACTAAAAAACATTTTATTGCATTCAAAAAAAATGTACTCTCATTGTTTCACTATATATTTTTTACTCAGAAAATTGTTATGTACTAAATTATTTACATTAGTCTTCTAATATTTTCAGCTCTCCGTCCAACGTGGCGAATTGTAGTAGACGTCACTAAGATAAATGGTTTGTAACTTTAATATTATAATATTAGTATGTATATATGTATTCAGCCATTTTTAACGTCCCACTGTCTGGATGGGTGGGTGTTCCTCCAAGTGTGGGCGGACTGAGTATGCATATATCTTTTGTGTTTAAAAAAATGCCAGTTAAAATTTAAAAACAATATTTACAAATCAATTTGTTGATTTGATTTAAATCATTCTATTGAATAGTACTGTCCCGTGTCCAGTTTCATAAATCCTCTTATTGAAGTGTTCTTGTATTAGATATTACTCGTAAAAAAACCGCTTTTCTATGTCTTTTATTATATTTTTATGGCTTACTTAAAATCTGTAAGTACTCTTCTGTGTGTATATATTATTTATTTATTTCAAGAAACACGCTCTTGCAATTCTTTGCCAAAAATATTATAGAATCAAAATGTTGAGAATATTAAAATAAAACATATTTCGTTTAATTTCTATTTAGTGTAAAAAGTTAAAAAAATATTATTGAAATAACAAAAATCGTCATGTCTTAGAATCATAAATAAAATGAAAATGGAATAAAATATAAAATAATATGTGATTCCAATATATTTTTTTAGATTTATATTCTTCAACGATTGTAAAATGACATGATATTTAGTAAGCCCAACTAACACAATTTTATATCTATACATATAATAAAAAAGCGTAACTGATCGCTGTCTGTACGTGCAAGATATTTGAACTACTATCAGGGGTCTTTACTAACGCAATAGAACGCAAAACCTCAGAAACGGCTTAACCGATTTGGGTGCGGTTTTCACTAATGTATTGTGGTAAACTTCACTTAAAATTTAGTATTTGTTTTATTTCAATCGGTTCACAAATAAAAGGTCTTGTCAATTTAAAGGCACCTAGCCACGAACCCGAGCAAAACGAGGGTGAGTCGCTAGTTTTTTAAATAAATTTTATATTTTATTGTAAAAATGTATGAAAATTCATATTATTTTGATATTATTTTCAGATATTTTCGTTTTAATTGAGAAGTTCAAAGTATATACTTCGGTCGACTTCATTTACTTCTTCCAAACCTTACAGCGCTTTACAAACACGACCAACATGCGTCTAGCTGTTGAGAAAATAAGGGAGCTGTTGAAAGTAAAAGGTTTGTACGTGTTGGGTTTTCTTTTTGAAATTATATTCTTTTGGCACGTTTGGAAAAAAAAATGAGAGTAACATTTTTACGATGCGCGCGCACACCGACAGCCAAAAAGCGAAATGATGAAGTTAGCTGCATTCCTTTCACAAACAGAGAGTTGTGACATACGGGATGGAATCTTTAGCTATTTTTGTTTTGTTACGCCAAAGAAGTATAATTTCTCACGTGCGTACATAAGTTTACACACACGTTTTTATTCGTATGTGTGTATATTTGTTACGCCTTTACGCTGTAACGGCTGGTGAGTTGGAAACCTGTGAAACTCAGTAAAATCATGGCTTTTTTATCATAATTGTAATTTTTAATGTACCGTACCTCAAAGGGAAAAGGAACCCTTATGTAATCACTATGTTATCCGTCTGTTTGTCTGTCTGTCACGACCATTTTTTTAGGAACGTGTGGATGTCTTAAGTTAAAATTAATATCAAATACCCAGGTCTACAATCCCTTAATGCTGTGAAGATATCAAACTTCTAAGTCAAAGCAATCAATAGATACGGCCGCATATGTTGACACACGCAAGTGAATCAAAACCGTTGACCTAGAATCATGAAATTTTACAAGAATCAATATCTTATATCATTCCCAAAGAGGGTTGATGTCAGGCAGGCGGCCGGTCGTAAAACTTTTGCCAAAACTGAACAGCAGTATGGTAGACGTACTGCGCCGACCCATGTAATTTGGGAAATGGGCAGGAAGAAGAAGAAGAATGTCTTATATCACAAGTAAAGGATAAAATCCGAATACCGTTGTAGTAACATCCCAAAAAAAAATTTTCTTTCAATATTAAACTTATGTTAATGTTTATTGCCACGGAACATTCGACGTGCGAGCAGACTCGCACTTATCCGATTTTTTCTCATCAATCATGTTTTTTCTTTCAGGTTTCTTTGAATGGATCGACATTATTCACAAGATTGTGCGTATAGGTGAGTTAGAAAATGTTTATAAAAAATATTTATTTATTTCGTAATGTATATTATTTGTGGCCATTATATTAATTCAGATTTTATATAGTATTTATCGTCTGAATTCGAATATGACGCTGTTTTTTATTATTATTTAACGCATTTATTAAATTAATTTTAATTACATATATATAACACTCAGATCTCTTCTGTAATAACTTGATTAATTTTGATGAATATTTTTGTGTACTTTACCATGGTCTAGAATTTCTAGATGGTTCTTAGCTTCGGACTCGGTAGATGGCGCTGTTTTTTTTATTTTCCGATAAAATGAAGTCTGTTAGGGTCTACGTCTGCCTACCGGGTCCGTTATGCTATACATATATGTATAATAAAAAGGAATCTATAGTTTTTAGAATTTTTGTCTGTCTGTCTGTGTGTATAGGAACACATCACGAAAAAACCACAGGACAGATTTTGATGAAATTCGGTATGATGATAACTGTGTATCCGGATCAACATATAAGATACTTTTTACTGCGGGAAAATATCTCATCTCTAAAAAATCTATACTAAACGTTAAAAACGTAATAAATTAAAAATATGTTTTTTTTTGAAAAAGAAAAATTCTTATTCATCCATTTGATATGAATAATCCACATAACCCAATGTATTATAGCAGGTATTACCTACACTCTACGAAAGCTTGTCAAAGGTTTAGCCGGTCGAAGTAAAATCATATTATTTATTTATTTATTATTACTATTTTTGTTATTAATAAATAATAAGTAATTTATCTTTTTTTTATAATTTATACTTTTTAATTCCAGATTTCATCAAGTTCTTCGAAGCTTTTACAAGTTTGAGCACTCGATTCTGTAAGTAGATAATAAAATTATTCATTTGTATTATGTGATCAACCATTTGAAAGATTCGTTTCACGGGTTCGAATCCCATGGTACGTATGATTATGTTACAACATTAAACTACGTATGTTGAGTTGATGACGAAAGAAAAAGAAATATGTAACTTGGTCTCCTCGAATAGCTTTCGAGAGAGATAAAGTGAAAATATATATAAACTTATTATACATTAGCAGGATGCCGTCGCTTTGCTCGGGTGCGTCACTGGGTACGTTTTAAATATATATATATATATATATATATTTATTGCCTTAGGAGATAGACATATACTATTGCAGATTTTTCTGTCGGCCTTATTAAGACCTACAATTTTCTAGTATATTGTTTTGATGTATCTCTTAAGGTTTAGGCCAGCGTGAGATACCTTTCTAAGGTAGACTCGATAGAACCAGTTATTGTGTTTTCCCGTGGAAATTAAAGTTTTTCCTATAGTAAAAATTACTTATTTTATATTTTCAGTATTGCAAGATGCTATTGTCATCACACAAGAATTCACAGGAGTTAATGGTAAGAACCTATTTATAATGTCCTCCAGACTCACTGAGACTAGCCAACTGCAGGAGATATTATAGTGCAGCGTGTGAGGGAGAGAGATAAACACAAATGCACCCTCTATCCCTCTCACGGAGATATTATAGTGCAGTGTGTGAGGGAGAGGGATATATAAGTGCACTCTGTCCTTCTCACTCGCACACTCCGATGGGACTATACTTCGATACTCGCGGTGAGAGACCAAACGCAGGACCGATGACGACTTTACATGCAAGGGGCTTTACATACTCGGCAAGGGGGTGAAATACCACTAACTTCCCAACTCTGGGCTGTTACTAAGAATAGCTACTTGGCCTCAAACGGGACTCGAACCCAGATATATAAACTTGCCACTAACTAGCTGCATCTATATTTTTAAATCTATGAAAGATTTTTGAACTAAAAACTTCTTTAGCCTCGTTGAGCTATTTTTGGTAGGGGGGAAACTTATGGGTTCGCGTCACCGACACGCGCTACGTATGACATGTGACGTGTCGACGCAGTCACGCGCGGACTTGCGACACGCAACGTCATACGTTTCAATTAATAAATAAACTATATCAAAATGTTAAATAATTATTGCTCGGAGTGCCAATGGATGTGAAAACCAGACTAATGATAATTTCAATTTACAAATTATGAAATTTTAATTATTCATACTATAATTGATTTAAAAATTAAAAAAAAAACACAGTTATAAGTTTTCACTTCTGTCGGCAGTCCCCATGACTGTCTATTTTATTTTTTAATTACCGCTGTCCATTTTAATTTATTTGGTCTAGTGTCATCGTCCCATCCCTATGTCCTGAGTTCGATTCCCGCCTCGGGTAAAGAATTGATTTAGTTATTTCTAAATTGTAACCTAATTTCATTTATGATTCAGAACCTATTGGAGCTATAGCGGCATTGAGAGCAGCCACGGAGCAAAGCGGTAATTTTTTTTATTATATTATTTAAAATTTGCATATTTAAAGAGATGTTTATTATATACATATATTGTTCTCAGACTAAAGAATAATAAAGGCTGAGTCCGCCAAAAAATTGTCTAAGTCAAAAAGGAGCGTAATTTGCTGTTTATGCTACTGCTAGCGGCTCACCCTCGCTTCACTCGGGTTCGCCTCTAGAAAAACAAAAACAAATTTATCCCACGGGAACCGTACATTCTTCCGGGATAAAAAGTAGCCTATGTGTTATGCGACCCTATCTATTGCAAATAATAAATAATAATATTCCAATTTATTGCTAATCTATGAATGTTTTCATTACAGATATACTTCAAGCGATAATATATGTAAAAACGAAACATCACAGGCGCGAAACAGCGACTACAACAACTACAACTCCAAAACTAGCTCCAATAAAACATGCACCTATAACACCTGCACTAACAACACCAGCACCAATAACATCTGCAACGATAACACCTGCCCCAATAACAGCAGCACCAATAACATCTGTCCCAATAACGCCAATAATATTTGAACCAATAACTTTCCGTTATCCTACTAAACAAAGAAAACCTAGCAATCAAAGAAGCGAGCAAGATTATTCATGGTCACAAAGTTCTTCAAATTCTTATAGTAACTCATATGGATCAGGATATCCTGATAGCCAGAGTGGTCCTAATCTACAAACGCCTATCGAGCAACAAGAACCTTATACCAATACAGGACTGCAGTCAAGAAAACAAACATCAACTCCTGAACCTTCAGAACAGAACCAACAACAATCTTCTCTAGAAAAACAGCTGTCTCCAGAACAACAGCCACATCCTTCTGAAGAGCAGCCTACAAAAAAATCTCCCACAGTCACTCCAAATAATAAACATCTAAATCAACAACTTACACGAGGTCAAAGACCTCCTCTTATATCTTCAGAACAACAACCATCTCCTTCTGGAGAACAACCTTCCTCTGCATCTTCCAACTCAGAAACACCTACAAAACCATCGCCTGAAATAAACTCTCAATCTGCGTCTGAACAACAAGAACCATCTCAATCTGGAGAGCAACCTGTAAAACAACCTTCTTTAGTATCCTCAAAAATAAAAGAACCAGAACAACAACATTCATCCTCCGATACCTCACCAGTACAAATATCACTACCAGCATCTGTGCAACAACAACCATTTACAGAACAACAACAATCGCAGGAACAACATACATCTCCTGGAGATCAACGTGTAGACCAAAATGTATCCCCAAAAACACAAAAGACAGGACAAGAACGATCATCCAACGATGAACGACAATCACCTGAACAAAGCATACCAAGTGCATCTCTGCAACAACAACTATCTCCAGAACAACATTCGTCACGTCCTGAAGGTCAAACTGTAAAACAACCGATATCCCCAGAAATGGAGACGCCAGAACAACATCCCTCGTCCCCCGATGAACCACAATCATCTGAAGGAAATTTACCACCAGCCTCTGTCCAACAACAATCATCTCTAGAAAAACAATCACCTTCTCCTGAAAAACAACCTGCAGAGCAATCTAAGTCAGTCTCCCTAAAAACAGAACAGTCAGGACAACAACCCTCTGATGAACAACAATCACCTAAGCAAAGTCCACAACCTGCATTTATAAAACAACGACCATCTCAAGAACCACAACCATCTATTTCTAAAGAGCAACCTTCTTGGGATTACTCAAAAACAGAAAAGACGGGACAACAACCATCATCCCCCGAAGAACAACAAACACCTGAACAAAGCATACCAAGTGCATCTCTGCAACAACAACAATCTCCGGAACAACAATCATCACCTCCTGAAGATCAACCTGTAAAACAACCGATATTCCCGAAAGCGGAGACGCCAGAACAACATCTCTCATCCACAGGTGAACCACAATCATCTGAAGAAAATTCACCACCAGCCTCTGTCCAACAACAATCACCTAAGCAAAGTCCACAACCTGCATTTATAAAACAACGGCCATCTCAAGAACCACAACCATCTCTCTCTAAAGAACAACCTTCTTGGTATTACTCAAAAACAGAAAAGACGGGACAACAACCATCATCACCCGATAAACAACAATCACCTGAAGAAAGCACACCAAGTGCATCTCTGCAACAACAACAATCTCCGGAACAACAATCATCACCTCCTGAAGATCAACCTGTAAAACAACCGATATCCCTGAAAACGGAGACTCCGGAACAACATCATACATCCTCCGATGAACCACAATCATCTGAAGGAAATTCACCACCAGCACGTTTCCAACAACAATCATCTCTGGAAAAACAAACATCTTTGCCTGAAAAACAATCTACAGAGCAACCTAAGTCACTACAAACAGAACAGTCAGGACAACAACCCTCTGATGAACAACAATCTCCAGAACGACAATCACCACCTCCTGAAGATCAACCTGGGAAACAATCAACATCCCCCAAAAGGGAGACGCCAGAACAACATTCTTCATCCCCCGAGGAAAAACAATCATCTGAAGGAAATTCAGCACAGGCACTTGTCCAACAACAATCATCTCTGGAAAAACAACCATCTTCTTCTGAAAAACAACCTGCAGAGCAACTTAAGTCAGTATCACTAAAAACAGAACAGTCAGGACAACAACCATCTGATAAACAACAATTACCTAATCAAGACCCACAACCTGCATTTGTAAAACAACAGCCATCTCAAGGACCACAACCATCTCTTTCTGAAGAGCAACCTTTTTTTAATTCCTCAAAAACGGAACAGTCACTACAACAACCGTTACCTACTGTTGAACAACAATCGCCTAAGCAAAGTTCATCACTTACATCAGAACAACAACAATCATCTCCTTCTACGAAAGAACATACACCACTATCATCAATAGAATCGACAAATAAAGAACAGCCAATACAACAACCATCAACCCAGAATGAACAACAATCACCTAAACAAAGCACATCATCTGCGCCTGCATCTCCGGAACAACAAACATCTTCTATTGGAGATCAATCAGTATCCCCAAAAAGAGAAAAGCCAGATCAACAATCATCATCGCACGATGAACATCAATCACCTGAACGACAACCATCTCTTTTCGGGGAACAACCGACAGAACAAACTTCCATATCTCCAAGTACACAAAATGCATCACCTGTATCTGATGAACAAACAACGTCCTCTTCTGGAGAACAACCTGCACAACAATCACCAATAGAGTCCCCAAATAAAGAACAACCAGAACAACAACCATCATCTTCTAGTGAACAACAATCACCGGAACAAAACTCAGTACCTGCATCTCCACAACAACAGCCATCACAAGAACAACAACCATCTCTTTCCAAAGAAAAACCTACTGAACAAACTTTCACATCTCCAAGTGAACAACAACCCTCTGAACAAAAGACATCACCTGTTTCTTCAGAAGAAACAACATCCTCTTGTGAAGAACAACCAGTACAGCAATCACCAATAGAATCGCCAAATAAAAAACAGCCAGAACAACAAACATTACCTTCTAGTGAACAACAATTACCTAAACAAAACTCATTACCTACATCTGCACATCAACAGCCATCACAAGGACAACAACCACATCTTTCCGGGGAACAACCTTCATCATCTCCAAGTGAACAACAACTTCCTGAAAAAAGTACATCATCTGCATCTCCAGAACAAAAAACATCTTCTGGAGAACCTACGCAACAAACAACAATAGAGTCTCCAAATAAAGAAAAGCCAGTACAACCATTAACTCCTAGTGAACAACAATCTCCTGAGCAAAACTCCCTACCTGCATCTCCACAACAACAGACATCTCCTTCTAGTGAACCACCTGCAAAAGAACCTTCAGAATCTCCAAATAAGCAAGAACCTGTTAAGCAACCTTCATCCCCTAGTGAGCAACAGTTACCTGAACAAAGCCCAATTACTGCTCCTACACAACATAAATCTTCTTCAGAAAAGCAACCATCTCCTTCTGTAGAACAACTAGCAGAACAAGCTTCTACAGAATCGCCAATTATAAATCAGACAGCACCACCCCAATTACCTCCTGTTGATCAAGAATTACCTAAACAAAACCCATCACCTCAGTCTTCAAATCAAAACTCAACTTCTTCATCTTCACAACAAGAACCTTCTACAGAAACACCTTCTTCGGAACCATCACCTACTAAACCACAATCTCCTAACGAAAACTCATCAGATACATCTTCACAACAACAATCTTCTCCTCAACAAAATTCCTCATCTTCATCTCCCGAACCTTGTGAAGAACCTGTTTCTGAAAAAACTCCTGCTATTTCTGAATCTAAACCACAAAATAGTTCTAAAGACTCTCTCGAACCAGAACCAAAAAATAATTTAGATTCTAGCACCAACTCTACACAATATTCAAGAAATGAAAGTCAATCAGGATCAGGATCACAGCCGACTGCGCCTGGTAACAAAACTAGTCTGTCTCCAGAAAACAGAGGTATGATTTTGTTATTTAAGCTATTATTTTGTATACTTATGCATAATTTAACATATCATCGGATGAACTTTAGTAATTTAACCGCAGCAGCTCTTAAGTTACTTAACAGCAGATGGTTCTTTGGAATAATAACAAACTGTATCTAACTGTAACTCGAACACTGAATGATGCCTTTGTTAGAGTGCGTCCCCATATCTTCATAATTTGGCAATCCAACTGACTCACCCTGCCAGGTAAAGGTTTCGGGCAGATGTAATATCTAGGTACTTTACAAAAAGTCCAGCTATGTCACGATGTTGAGAAAAAATATCGATAAATACGTTATCGGTGTCGGAGCTCATTGATCGGCCTGTTTTTATGTTACGTTTATCGCCATAATGCGTACAAATAATTTGTCAAGTCACGCTCAGACCAACAACTCAGGTCACGATCTAATAACAACGGAATTTAACAATCGGCAAAATCTAGATTCCAGTCCTATATGTATTGATCACTTAAACTATTATTAGTTACTACTAATACAACATTATTAGTTGTAAAATTGAAGTAAAAAGTGTAGTAAAATTAAATGGATGTTTCAAAAGAACTAAATAGTTCTTTTGAAACATCCATTTATTTTTTTAAATCATGAGGAGTTCTGCTGAAAAGAGGTTGCAAATGATGATCCCCAATGTGTCAAACTATTTTATTTTATAAATACACGTGTTCTAAAAGTATGTAAAACCAACCTAATTTCAGTGTTATTAACCATCGTTGTCCGAAACCTTATAAATTATAAGCAGCGCCATCTATGAATACACAGTACAAAATCATTTTCCAATATGTGATTTTTCAATCATTAGTGAATAATAAATTTAAGAACGCATTATTATTTATAACGCCCTATTGACAATTATTTTACTTTATTTCTGACTCTAAGCTCGTATAATTACCACATATTAGGACAAAAGTGATATTTAGGTATATTGATAACTAGCGACTCACCCTCGCTTCGTTCGAGTTCGTCCTTAGGTAATTCTTTAAATAACTTTTATTTATAAACTAATTGAAATAAAACAATAATAGTTTTTCTCAAATATATCTTCATATAGTGTATAGTGTAGTTATGTATTATTATAAAATAAAATATATATTAAAAATAATAATAATATGTTAGGACATTAACACACAGCACCATCTAGTTCCATGATAAGCTTACGAGGCTTGTGTTATGGATACCAAAGAGTTTATACACTAAACATATATAACTTTAAATACATACATATTATAAACATAAACAACCACGAGTACAAACATTCGTGCTCATCACACAAATACCCCCAGCGGGACTCAAACCCGCGACCTTCGGCACAGCAAGTACACTATAAACCGAGCCAAACGTATCATTATACATACCAAGTGACATTCTAATTGAAAAATACAAAAACATTATATCTATTTAATTTTTTTTCAGATAAAATGAAAGCTCTACAAGTAAATATGAATTTAAAACTTCTTATTTTGCCTCAAGGACCAAAAAATAGCAAGAACTGTTATTGTGCGTGTGACAGCCAAGACCCGCCAAAACTAGTACCTCTAAAAGAGTTGCCAGCTGAAATAAATGGAGATTGATTTAAAGAAATATATATTAAAAAAAACTTTATTCAAATATAATATAATTATAGCTTTTATAAGTTAAATATTAAAAATTTAAAAATTATCAATAATTTTAGATTTCTTCTAATGGTGTTAGGAATCATTATTTTTTAAAGCAATTTATGGTGCAGGGAAAATAAAACAAATATATTAATTTCGTTGTTTTTTAATACAAACGTTCCTTTAATTTTAAGCTGTCACATTCAACTGGATGCGTATTATAGTTGCGTTTTGGAGATTTGACAATTTTTTATTTAAAAAAAATCAGTTACAATAATAAAGAGAGACGAAAGCTGTCAAAATTATTGAGGTAGACATTTTGTAACTGTCAATAGGGCTCTGTGCGAAAGAGACAGACTATAAATAAGGTTTTCGAGTTCGTTTTTTTTTGTCTTATTCGCACATTTTTTTAACAACTCAACTATTTAGCAAATAGGTCTCATATAAAAAATTATCAAATCCATATTGACTAGCATTTTTGCATACAGTTTTTAACGAATATTAGAAGCGTGACAATATTAAGTTACATCGAAAAAATTCACAGAAAACATGTTTAAATAAAATTAAATACTTAATAAATAATAATTAAATTCATAGAAAAGTTGTTGAGACCGTATATTGTAGATTTGATATAAAAAAAATAGAACGATGAAAATACAAATATTTTTTTTTCTTAATAGAAGATCATGAAATAAACTCTTCTAAAAAGCCAAATTAAGCAAAACTAATAACATTGTTTTTTTATTTCATTTTTTAAATCTGATATTACGACAGATAACATTATTGTGCAATTTTAATTATAAAAAACCTACAATATAAGACTAAAGTTTAAACATAAAAGTATAATACATACTTTGATGTTTAAACTATTTAAAAAATAAAATTAAAATACTCAAATATAAAACAGATAAAACTTAGAGGAGTCTTTGAATCGAGATACGTTGCTGTTATATTCGATCGCATTTATATAATATAGTGTAGACCGGTCTTTAAGTAAACATTCATATAATAAATAAAGAAAAAAAAACAATTTAATTTTTTTTTTCTTTTTCAGAAACACCAAATAAAAGAGTAATATGTACTTGGAAGTTTCAAAAAGACACAAAAATATGACTTTCAAGTGTGGAAAAATCAATATTTGGTTTTCTTTCTGCAATTGAAGTCTTCAAAATGTAGCTTTTGGGATTCTTTTTTTTTATTTACCAGTAAAATTATTACAAAAATTATATATTAGCAAGTTGATAAATATGATCTTTTGCATCTCATGTTAAATATTGCAGTTTGCAATTATTTAAATGCGGTCAATATCATTAAATAATTAATATATATGAGATACATAAACAAACATTCAACAAAACATATGTACATTTATATAAATATTAAGTTTAAAGCTTATTAGTGTTTTGTTTTACCAAATATTTTGATATAAAAGAAATTTCTAAGCACTTCTGTAAAAACATTAAATTTCTAATAACGCTTGGTTACTTAGAGACCGTCAATACATATATATACCAATATCAAAAAACCTCACCCTTTAAAAGATATGAGTTTGGATTTTGCCAATTTTCAGATTATTATCATAATATGTCCGTCTTTTAACAATACGGCGTTTGGTGCTCACAAAACTTATTTCTAAACGTCTGTGTTATAATATATGTATGTACAATGGTGTCGATTTTTTTAAATTTTTTCCTGAAAGATAAATTATCAATTTAGTGAGCCATAAACAAAAAAAAATAATTCGCAGTAATTAGACATCCTTAGCGTTTGGTTTTGAAACTAACAAAGTACTTAGAACAGTAACAATTAAAACATCTATATCTTTTCTAATATTTACTACATCTGTGGAAATCAGTTCTGCAACTTGCCAGTAAAGAATTTTACTAATAATTTACAAAACGGTCTTGTATGTTCATTTTTTACTTCCCATCTCTTATCTTTGGAGAAACCACTGACAAAATCCCCGTTTTTTTTTTCTAAAATTCCTTAAATTTCACTACAGTAAAAATACTGCGATAAAACGATTAAATACTCGATGTCGAAACGTTCTTGTTGAAATCCTTAAAACGATTTTTTTGTAAAATTAAGATCTTTTTTTAAAATACTTAGTTGCCCACATTACAAAATGTCAACATGTTTAATATTTATCACATACATATATATCAAAATTTATTAGATTACAAGTTTTTTTTAAATTTATTATCTGTTACAATTCGTGCAATTTCTAGTTTAATGAAATCATATATCTAGTACAGTGTTGCTAGAGCTGTTGCGGTAAATCTGTCTCTCTCTATCTTTACAAGGTGTGAGCGAGACAGATATAGACATCATACAATCTATTCGTAATCATGTCACTTGCAATGGTGTCTAAATGTCAAGAGTTCGAAAAACAATTATGAAATAAATTTAAAATCACTAAATCATCAATTTTCTCACTGGAATTGTAAAAAAATAACATTCTTATTAGAAATAACCTTCAATTTATCGAATTTGTTATATATTCGAGCAGTTCTTTTGTCTCACCTTCTGGCCCCAATATCGAGCTAGCTCTATGGTAATGTGGTTGTATTGTCACCGAAATTACATACGAAAGTCAAGTTTCATTAACTTCGAAGCCAAGAAACGCACTGGGAGGTGGCCAACCTCGGTGGGTGGTGTGCCATGCGGGTTGCTCCGGTACTTTTCTGACAGTAGGATGGACTGTGGAAGCAATCCCATGGTTGTTGTGGTCTGCTTCGTCAGACCTACCTTCGGGGCGTCGTGATGGAGTGCGTAAGCGATCCTGCGACGCCCCATTAAGATGGGGGAGGTTCTGTTGAGTTTTAGTGGGTAGTACTGACTTTTCTAGCCGGTGAGTCCAACATAACCACCTGTATGTATGCCGAGATGGTATGTGTAAATGCATTTCCCCACATTAAAAAAAAGGTTTCATTAACTAAAGAGAGATAGATAGTATGCTGTCTTTCTCATTCCATGACATTTTCACTTTTCGATGCTAGCAACATAAAGTACTAGATATATGGATGAAATACATTGCTTTTTCGTACAATTTTTTTCATTCAGGAATATAGTTGCATTTTCAAATCAAATAATACTAATTTTAATAAATACTGAAATTACTTAAAAACGAGACAAAAAATATATTTACATTCTATTGTTAGTTATAAGTACATTTTTTGATCTATGGACAATATATTATGATGAAAAAATGAAAAAATAAAATGAAAATTGAAAGATTTTTTCCTCCTATGTGGGACAAAAAATTAATTTGTATTAATTTTTCTCATGGCAATGTTTTTATAAAAAATAAACAATGAGTATAAATTTAAAATATCCACTCACATTTAAAAAAATGAACGCAAATAAGACTAAATGCAAAATTTTGTCTTTTATCAATTTTTTTTTCGAATAGCATATCATACATTAAAACATATGATAAAAATGACAAAAGCTGCCAAAAAAACATGGCACAAATAAATAGTATCCATTATATACAAAACAGTTATTTATTAATTATTTGTCCGTATCTTTGACTACAATTTGTAAAGTTCTTGTTGTTTATATTATATCAACTCAAATCCTTTATTTCTATCCTTTTCCTGCATAACCAAAGTAAGAGAGACAACGATATTATACCGGTGGTAAATTAAGATGGAAATATTAGATTCACAAAAGGTTTTATATCAACCAAGAATCGAACAACATATCCAAATCTATCCGTACCAAATCAAAATATTACTAAGTCCATCTCAACTTACCAATTTGTATATAAAATAATTTATATATAGTCTATTTTTATTAGAAAACTTATTAAAAAAAAAAAAACAATTAGTAACTTTGAATCGAAGCACCGTTCGGTTTTTATGAAAAATAACAATTTACCTTACATTATACATATTCATAATACTTTGACAGCTACTTTTTAATACCATAGATAATAAATCAATTGCTTATTAAGTGAAATTGGCATGATTTCTTTTTTGTTATAGTTTAAAAAAATATATAATCCTTACGGAAGTTTTATCTATCAATATAAATAAAACGTACTAATAAGAAATCAAAATGGAAAATATTAAAAAAAAATAAAAAAATGGATATTGTTTGAAGAATGACTTATCTTTATATATATATATATGTTTATAATTTATTGAAAAATATCTGGACTGATGTGCCTTAAAATAAAATTGGTTAATTGGATCAGTCCGATCAGTTGAAAATAGTTAACATCTTGTACAAAAAAAAACCGTCTACAAAACAGAAAATGGCGGACGGAAATGTCAAAAGTAATAAAAAATAGCCGTCGAAATATTATTTTTTAACAAGTATATCATATTCGGTTAGTTTTTGGTATACGAGTGTAAATAAATAGAAGCATTAGTTACGCGTAGTAAATATACTTTCTCATTTCACGACCTATCTTTGTCATATTCGTGCATAGCTCTTGATCTCTGAAAAAAATATTAAAAAATAGTAGTACATAAATATGTTGGTACATTAACACACAGCGACATCTAGTTCCATTGTAAGCTATTCCATTGTAAGGTCTGTGTTATGGATACCAGATAGTTGATATTTGTACAGTTGAACTTTAAGTATATACCTATTCTAACTATAAACACTCATGAATGAAGTACGAACATTCGTGCTCATCACACAAATGAATGCCCCCAGCGGGACTCGAACCCACGACTGCTGGCACAGCAAGTATGGTCACTACAAACTGAGTGAACTGTCGTAAAAAAATATAGAAATTTTAATATTTGCTTATAAAATAAAATAAAATAAAAATACGAATTAACCTACTAACGACCTGCTACATTATTTTTACTTTTACATTATAGGTTTTTATAAAAAATAATAATCTATAAGCTTAACGCTTAATTGAAAAGAAAAATTTCAGAGGCGTCATTTTTCCATCGTTTACTTTTACTTATTGAAATTGAAAAAAAGCTATAATCATTATTATTAAATAAAACTATCTAGAGACTAGGCTACAGTCTCTCCCGTGACCATGGTGGCTGAAAGCATTCGGAACGTCAGAAACCAAAGATAAAAAAACGCGAAAAAATCCGATAACATTCAAATATTCGCGTAAATCTAAAAAAGTATTAATAATATATTAAATTAAAAAAAATGAAACAAAAGGGAAGTTTTATACATCCACTTACCTCAAATCACCCCATCCCCCGTTCCCTTTAGTCAATTTCTTGTTATGTTTCGCACCCCCCGCACTGATGGTAGCAGTAACTCTGTACGGATACAGATAGGACTTTGCATCCTGCAGTAGCTTTTGTACTTTACTTATGACTGTCGACGCGTTGCAATTAGACTTTTTGTGGTGGAAACCGCTAAGAGAATAAAAAAAAATTAATAAAAAAAATTGGTAAGATAAAAACAGAGAAACAATGACTTTCTTTTTTATATAAATAAGATTTCATTTCGATGAATCAAAAATATTTTTGTGACAGTGTTAACTATGTGATTTGGACAAGCTGATTTTCAATGATCATTATGGCTAATAGAAAACTGAAAAATATAGCTATGAGAGACACGTAATGTGTAGATTATAGATAATAGATATGTCATTTCCCCATATTTCTTAGCTTTATATATGTAAAATATAATTTTGTCTAACAAGGATTAATAATAGCTTCTTTTATCTCCTAATTAGGATAAATAATTAAATGCAAATTAAAAAAAAATAGATTCAAAACAAAAACATTTACTAATCTCAATTTTTAAATTATTATTACATAAAATATGAACGCTATAATCCTTTAACAATGTATTTTTAACGAAAAATTAAACTGATTTTAAAATAGCGGAAAAGTGAGTTGTTATTCTGAAATAAAATAAAAAAAAACACATTTTTTTAAATCTTAATGTAGTTACAATTTAATAAGAACCCCGTTGAAATATCACTATTTATTTTTGGCCACTGAAAATATTTACAAAAAAAAAACTCACCACTCGCCTATATGGAAGACCCGTGGACCTTTACACAGTATAACTTTGAATTTCTCCCTTCCCGGCCTATTTTGGGATAAATGTAACAATGAATAATCCCAATTATAATCATCGTACGCACAAAATTGATCCTCTAACGCCATAATACTTTCCCATACAGTCCTATTGAAAACCATTCCCATGTTATGCATACTTGAGTGCCATGGTGTTATTTCCACCTTAAAAAAAGTAAAATATTTAATTTTTGCATATGGCATCCCCTCACTTGTCTGCGAAGAAATATTAGTCATGTTTTTGTTATCTGTATTGAAACGGGTTAGTTGTAGTAATATATAAGCTGTAGTTAATGCATATTTAATCTATGACAAATGATTTTGACAGATGTTACATTAAAAAAAATGTCTGTAATCATGTGACAGAAAGCTATTATATTTTTAGAAACATTTATTTTATTACATTAATAAACACTGTTTGATATATTGTATAATTTGATGTATAAATTCATTTTTAAAATATTTTGTGGGCTGTTTATTTGAATTATAAGCCCAAACTAAAATCTTACATGGTTAAAAATAAAAGAGTATGTATATTAGGAAAGCATCTATCTATTTACTATAAAATTATTTTTGATCTATACAAAAAAAAGTATTATTTTTAATCTATACAAAAAAAAGTATCTAAAAGTTACTTAACTACTTTAGCTACTTATTTAAGCTACTATACAAGCTTTAAGACGCATCAAACTAATTTATTATTTGCGCATGCAAAATGTTTAAATCTCAGAAGAATGATTTTTTTAACCTTTAAAAAAATTACATTCATAGAAAAAACGTTTATGAAACCGGCTTAATATTTTAGGGTTCCGTGCCAAAAGACAAATGGAAACTAGAAGTGTATAAACAAATAAAAAATCTTTATTAGGATTTATTTATTTTTTATCCATCGTCATTCTTATGAGATCATAATTAACGTTCAGAAAAGGTTATTTATAAAATAGATAAGAAATTTATTTAAGACTAGCGACTCACCCTCGCTCCGCTCGGGTTCGTTCATGGTTACGTTTTAACGTTTAAAATAATTTACTCAGAAATGAGTTATTTTCCCGCAGTAAAAAGTATTTTATCTAAAATATATGATGACCCGGATAACCAGCTATCATCATACCAAATTTAATCAAAATCTGTATTTAGTGGTTTTCTCAAGATGCGGTCACAGACAGACAATGAAATTTTCCAAAAAATATTCCATGTACAAATTCAACTTACTATTTTGTTAAGTGTAATGAAAAAGAAAATTAATTCAAAACATTTATTTTGTGTTTTTGTACCCGAATATTTTAATATAGTTCATGCCCACTTATTTCCGTGAGGTCCAAAGTTCATATTTTTTACTTTAATTCTAAATAAGTATTTTATAAATAACCTTTTTTTTAATATAATTGAAATAAGAAAACATATTAAAATTAATAAATAATGAAATAGTTAATTTTGATAAAAATTAACATTTTTTGTTTACATTATCAGATTTAAATTAAGAAATGAACATAAAATATAAGAAAAACAATTATGTATTTTCTCTTGTATTTTTTTAGTTGTTACGTGCATAACAAACTAAAGTGCATTCAAAGCCTAGAAAAATTACAGCTCGCATGCATTACGAATATTTTATATTTAAAATATATAATATAAAAAATATAGTAGAAAATTAAAAAAAAGGATATTACAAAAATGAAAAAAATCTCATTTTTTCTGTACCATTCCGTTTACGAGAAATTTTAAAAAAAAAATCCATTTTTTTAAGTCTAAATTTATAAAATAAAACTAAAACCACAACCATTGTCTAGATTACATCGAAAGGAAGGTAGAATTGAAAAAAAAATTAGAAATTATATTTTTTGAACCTTTTGAGTACTCGAATAGAGATTCGGATAGACTTGATAGTTCCACTCTTGCTGTCTCTTTCTTCTCTCTTCACTCACCGCTCGCACTTGTTGTATGTAGTTAAGAGTGAGCTGCTTCTTTCTCTGTTTTATATTAAAATCGCGATTCTTTGTACAGTTGCCTGAACTCTTATTTATTAAAATATAAAAGAAAACCAAAAAAAGAGAAAAAAAATGTATTTGGAAATCTGAATTTTTGTAAGTTTTTTTATTGTCAAAAAGCGATAAATTATATTATTATCTGTCAACGACGTAAGTTATATTTGTTATAAATTGACGTCAACAGCTGTGCAACTAACTTGCATTGTTTAAAATAAATATTATTTAAAAAAATTGTGTACAAAAAAAAAGAGTGTAGATAGTATATTTTTAAATTAAGTGTTTTTATTTGTAAGCATGTTTTGAAATAACAAATTATAATGAATGAATGAGTGTAACATTGAATGAGAACACAAATCACTTACGTCTATCCGCCATGTCGAAAAAAAATAATTAAAAAAGCCATTTTTTATCAATCACAGCACATAGACGCCAAGCTTTAATATGGAGCATTAAAATTATTACGCGATTTTCAATTAAAAACATTGATGAAAAAACATAAAAAAACAACATAAATTGATATAATCACCAGTTTTTTTTATTTAGGGCACATAAGAAAAATTTTAGAAAGTGTCACATTATAAAAAATTATAATCTCATAAAATGTGCTTAAATTTTGCATTGATACGAAAATAAGGTACAAATAAAATATTATTAATTTTATATAGATTTTTTTCTTTTGTACCCTCGATATGTAATAATTAAATACATAATTAAAGGCAATAAATATTTATTTTTACTTTACTTTACTCTCAAAAGACAACTGAACTTAATTAAAATGAAACTTTATTGGTAAACATTGCAAAACTATAAAAAAAAAACAAATATCAACCAAGATTGATAACGGTTAATAACGGTTGACAACAGTTGATAAATTGATAAACTAATGCATTACCTTATCACTATTACTGTGGTACTGATAGGTCTTGAGATAGGTCCCGAGACATAATATTTCGCATTGCGGACAAGTTTTATCCGCTGTCGAACGAAGGAGTTGAAGCATGTGAATAAAATCTTCTGCCACATAGTGATCTTCTTCTAGAAAAACCACCATACCTATAAAAAGATATGTTAATTATTAATATTTAGTTATAATTTTTTACTAAAAAGATTTCATTGAATTTTAAATCACTAAAAAGTTTTTTTTTCTTATTCTTTGGGAATTTTAAGTATATCCAAAAAGGCAGTGGCTGCTCAGTAGTATCGCGTCTCTTAAAAAACTGAGTGAGTTACGGATCCCGCACATCTGATATATTCATGTGCGAATCATTTCCTACATGATCACCACTTGCCTTACGGTAAAGGAGAGCATCGTGAGGAAACCTGCATGTCTGAGAGAACCTAGCAAGTTGTCTGCAACATGCTCAGTCCGCCCGCTTTAGACCAGCGTGGTGGACTTTATCCTTATCCTCTTGTACTAAAGAGAGGTCCACCCCCTATCAGTGGGTTAAAAAGGGTTCAATAACTATACTAGTCCCGACCCGGGGTCTGAACCTAAAACCTTACCGCCTAGTATTACTAACCTGTATGACCCATAGTGCATTGTAGTTGATTAAATATTCTGTTAGCTTTCCACCACCAGTGGTGTTTTGTTTGAGTATATTTCGCCTCCCGGTAGTGGCCGTGTAGGTCCGGGTGTAATGCGTTGTTGCATTTCAGTTTTAACGCCCTGAAAAATTTCATTCAATTCAATTGTTATCAATAATTAATTGAATTAAATGCAATAGTTTTATTCAATTCAATGTAAGTTAATTCATATCGATCTAAGTCAATTTCACAGCAAGTTTAATATTTAACTAATAAAAAAAATCGGACAAGTGCGAGTCTGACTCGCACACCGAGGGTTCCGTAGCATGAAACATTAAAATAAGTTTATAATCGCAAAAAATGTTTTTTTTTTATGTCACTACAAAGTTCGGCATTTCGGGATTTTTCCTTTACAACGAGCAAGCGAGTGTCGAAATATGCGACATACACACATTGATATAAAAGAACTCAAAATAAACAATTAGCATATCAAAATTGCTCTCAAAAAGAAGTGCACAATTCGAAATTGCACGCTTTTTCCAAATGTCTTTTGGACATTGCTTTTCAATTGACAAAGTTAAAACGACCATGTTTTCGTTTAAAAAAGTACTTTATGTGTTATGTACGTAAGTTCGAATTTGTGCTTAGCCAATTAGAGTTTTGAATGTTATTTTTTGGTTTGACTTAACGTCACATGTCGACGCCACTTTTTGAAGAGATATCATGTCAGGAAATGTGTATCTATATTTTTATACTATATCAATTATATATATATATATATATATATGTGTGTGTGTGTGTGTGTGTGTGTGTGTGTGTGTGTGTGTGTGTGTTATCGGTATCGAACCTTAGAATCGTCCTAACCGGATCAATTGAGCTCCTTATATGTAGCTATAAAAAATGAAAAGAAAGAGAGATAGAAATAGAAGGAAAAAAGAGATAGAGAACACTACATCAACTTACTGTTCTAATTTGACGTCTCGCGGACAGTCGTTAGGATCGAATCCTGGAAATTCTGTGGGGTGAGTCTGCACTGAATACGGGAAAAAAATTTGCATAACCTGTAAAAATTTATATAGCCTGTAAATAAATATTTTATTAATTAAAAATAATCTAAAAATTAGTGATGGAAGAAAGAGTTAAGGAAAGAATTCATAAGTTTAGTTATATGTTAATTTATCGATTGACCTATCGACTTAAAAACGCTTCGCTCGGGTGCATCCCTATATGCCTTTTGTAATATTATACATTGAAGGCAGTGGTAGCTCAATGGTAACGCGCTCGCTTCAGAAACTGAGTGAAGCGGGTTCAAATCCCGGGTCTCGCACTTTTGATATCCTCATGAGCGAATCATTTCCAACATGGTCACCAATTGTCTTGAAGGAAAACATTGTGAGGAAACCTGCATGTCTGAGGGAACCTAGCAAGTTTCTCAAAAGACATGCTCAGTCAAACCGCAATTTGCCAGCATGGCGGACTCTGGTTCCACTCGTATTGAAGGGAGGCCCACCCCCAGCAGTGGGACGTTAAAAAGGGCTGTATACCATTAATAACAATATCTATGAGAGTACTAAGTTTCATCTAACTCCATCCAGCCGTTTTAACTATATATGGAGTAACAAACAAACACATACAAATCTTTGCATATACGGTGTGTAACATGACTGATGGATCAAAGCTGGTGGGGGTCGAGGACTTCAGCGATTTTTAGTTGTTCCAAAGTTATATGGATTTTAAAAAATAAACTGTAAAAACCAGATTTTAGAATAAACTTTGCTAGTACAGAAGTATCAACTATAACATTGTGGTATATTTTTTTCTATTTTTTAAAATCCAAATATATAATACCTTGAAGGTCGATCAAAAAAGTACTACATTCACAATCCCATGCAAAAGTTCTCTTAAAACTGTCATAAATTGTGTTAAGGTAATTGTTCTAGTTGAAATAAATATACAACAATGATGAACCTTAAATGCAATGTTTAAAGTTGTTTTCACCAAAAATAATAATTAGAAGCGCGCTCAAATGTTCTAATGAGCGCTCATTCGGTGAAGACATTTTTTGTCGCTGATTGGGTATCTAATACTTTTTGATCGATGACCTTGAACAATAATAAAAAATATAGGGCTTTATAATTGAATATTCAGCCCCCAAAATAAAAAAAATAATACGAAAGAAATAAGAATGATAGATAAATAACGAATGAATTACCCTTTAGTCTGAAAATTGGTAAAATTGTTCTGTTAGCTTCATTTCTATACAATTATGTACTCGTATTATAAGCAGACAGAGTTTGTTTGTTTGTTTTAACGCGTTAATCTCAGGAACTACTAATCCGATTAGAAAATTTATTGAGGAACGCTATAGACTATACATCATGCTATTACCCAAGGGCGCAGAGCAGTCATAAATGTCAACAGATCAGACAGACTTCCATACATTATTGTAAAACTGATCTTTATAATATGTTTAAGTGCTTTAAACTCAAAAAATTACTGAACCCATTTCAAAAATACCTTTTGCATAAATCCAAAGAGTAGTTTGGTCATCAAAAAAACCTAAACTCCTGCTTTCAAAATCGGTAAACTTAGAAATTAACATTATAATCACCTTAGTAAAATCTATACTTCGAACCAAACTGTTGATTTCTTCATCGTAATAATCGTGGGAGAATATGAGCAGTGTTTTATCTATATCTCGGGCTTGGGCAAGAGATACGATCAAGTGCCTGAGATACGTGAGTCTTGTGTGGACCTGTGGACAAACATATCTGATTTATTATCGATAATATAATAATAATAAAAATAATCAATAGATATAATAAAATTCTAATCGAATCAAATCTGTATATTAAATTTTTTTTTTTAAAATCTTATTGAAATAGTTGAATTTTTGGTCTGTCTGTCTGCCTGCCTCTCTGTCTAGGAACGCATCACGAGAAAACCACTGGACAGATTTTGATGAAATTTGTTATGATGATAGCTAGTTATCCAGGTCAACATATACGATACTTTCTGTTGCGGGAAAATATTATCTCTTCTCTGAGAAATCTAACTACTACTAACGGACTAACGTCAAAACGTAATTAGGGACGAACTCGAGCGGAGCGAGGGTGAGTCGCTAGTCTATACATATAATGAAACAATAACTTAGCGAAATCGATGTGCGCGTTTCACGCAAAAAAGTACTGAACCGATTTTAACTAAATTTTGTTTAGTGATAACTTATTATTACTCGGGTCAACATTTAGGATACCTTTTACTACAGTTTACTGTAGTAAAAGGTATCCTAAATGTTATCTATATCTCGGGCTTGGGCAAGAGATACGATCAAGTGCCTGAGATACGTGAGTCTTGTGTGGACCTGTGGACAAACATATCTGATTTATTATCGATAATATAATAATAATAAAAATAATCAATAGATATAATAAAATTCTAATCGAATCAAATCTGTATATTAAATTTTTTTTTTTAAAATCAGCGTTAGAGCATATTAAATTTTTTTTTTTAAAACCAGCGTTAGACATGTATATTAAAAACAACTGGATAGAACCAGTTATTGTGTTTCTTTTGGGAATGAAAGATTTTAATCTTTCATTCCCAAAAGAAACACAATAACTGGTTCTATCCAGTTGTTTTTAATATACATGTCTAACGCTGGTTAAATCTTAAAAGATACATCAAAACAACTAGAAAAGGTTTAATAAGGCCTTTAGAAAAATCTGCAATAGCGTAAGTCTTTCTTCTAAGGTACACTCGCAATAACTATTCATATCTATTTAAAACGTAAGAAAGTTGTAACGGTAAGTCACTAGCTTTTTTCGTGCTGATCGGTTTCGGCAAAAGTTTTATAACCGGCTGCCTGCCTGACATCAACTAATTTGGGAAACTAATAACCAAACTTAGTGTATTAAAAAAAATATATATGTTAAAAAACCGACAAGTATTAATTTTATCTAAAACTTTGAATTCAATTACAAAAAATATTTAATTAATAAAAAAGTAAATAAAATAAATGATATTTATTTAAGCATTCTATTTAACGCAACATATCAAAATTAATATTTATTACTATTCGTCGGATGTAACGTGTAGACCCAAGCCTCATAGACAACAATTAAAAAGTTAAAATAAAACGTCTAGTAATGCGAATGACATAAGTCAAAAGCTAAATTATTTTCGCGTTATCTAAAGTTCGTCTATTTTAGTTCGTTATAATCATCTTTTAGATTGATTAAAAAAAACTTATTTCTCATAATAAAAATCTAATTTGGAAAACATCAAAAATGTCTAATGAAGAAATTGCTTTGGTATATTTACTTTTATACTCTTTAATTAAAAAAGTTAATCCCAAAATATGATTATGACATAAATAGTGCTTATATTATTGTTATTGTAACTTTGAAACCTCGGTTATAAAGTTTATATGAAAATTTTGAAACTCAAAAAGAAATACATCCCACGGGAACCGTAATTTTTTTCCGGGATAAAAAGTAATCTATGTGCTATTCCCGACTATAGTCATTTATAAGAATTATAATCTAGTCATTTGTAAGATTATAATCTATCTCTGTGATAAATTTCATCCATATCCGTTTAGCCATTCTAGCGTAATTGAGTAACAAACATCCAATCAAACTTTCGCAATTATAACATTAATTAATATATAATGGGATTAATGGGGTGGGATTTATGAGAGACACTAGTTTTTCTAATATAAGAAGTTATTGGCTTAAAGTATTATTTTTATTGTCATTCTTTTTTCTGTTCATGTTAATGAAAAAAAAATTTAAGCAAAAATCACTACACAGATTAAGTAAATTTCAACGTCCAATAGCCTTAAGCTATGAACATCAATTTCGCAGACCACAAAGAAGTCAGAATTGCCCCAAAAGATCCATGCACCAAAGAAGATCATGATTCCGCGACGTGAACCCTCACTGATTGTACCGGAAAGGATACCAATTTTTCCAACTCCTGATAAAACCACTTGCTTGGAATGCACCTGTTTTCCGAAGGACCCTTATGTTAAGAATAAGTATATTAAATCATTCATATTCAAAATATCCACTTTTATGTGTGTTTGTTTGCAACAAAATATCTCCAGAACAGATTTTAAGAGACTTTTTATATAAAGTTAAAAGCCCTTAAGGCATTCTTCTATTTCCCTACATCAGTTATACCTTTGGCAAAATTATAACATCATGAGGATGACTTTATGTTTGAGAGAACCTAGCTAGTTTTCGTCAGACATATGAACTCTACCAACTCGCGATTGGTCAGCGTGACTGTGACCTAATCTCCCTCGTATTGAAGGGAGACCAATCCTGAGGGCTTTGAGAATTGCCAATAAATAAAAGGAGGAGAATGAGAGGAATTCCAAGGCTGAATTATTATTATAATATAGACTCACTAAAACCGTCGCTCGTGCTTTATCTCTTACTGGTCGTGTTGAATTTTCGTCCCACCGGATTATGAGAGTGACAGGAATTGAAATTAGAAGGTGTTCTTGCATTTGCGCGAATACTTATGCACTATAGTATGTTCTGTACAGTTGGCTAGTCTTAGTGAGATTGGCAGAAATCGGTCAAGAGGACATTATAACAATGCCTTTAAAAATTTATACTTTATAGAAAACTGAACCCTTGCCAGAAGTCACCACTAACGTTATATGAATTGGCAGCAAAAGTAGTGGATTCTCTCCCTCTACCAGATGCATTTGGTTGGTCTGAAGAAAATGTGGCGTTGTGGATGGAAGAAGAAGTGGGTCTTCCAGAATATAAGGTTAGATTTACTTTAGACTATTTGACTCTATATATTTTAAATCATTTATAAAAAAACTAAAATATGTACATATATACATATATATTCTGCCTAACGGCTAACTCTGGTAAGGTCTGGGATATATGTATTTTTTTGGCATATGGTGCAAAATGTGTTATCGATTAACTTTAATCTATAAGTGTCACTTAATTATACGATATCATTTTAGTTACTTTAATAAAATGGTGACGAAAGTTTACAATTAGAGTTATATTTTAGATGAACTAGAATTTAAATGTACGATTGTTACTTTTTGACAATTTTATACTTGTCTGCCAACTGAATTGCCAAATACGACTCTTCTAACGTTTTTAGTACCTGAATGAGCTAGCTTTGCTCGATGTTTTTTCCGAAAAGATAAAGAAGGATAAACTTTAAAAGCAAAATCTTATATAAATACAAATTTTATCCAAATCGGTAGAGACGTTTCAGAGATACCAAGAAAATACTTTTTCGTGAGCCATTTACGTGAACAAAGACGAGAACTAAACGTAGTTGTATTCACGTAAAGAAAGATGAAGATAAAACCTAGTTACTAATTAACTAAGCAAGTACTTTGCAGGAATGTATCACAGCAAATCATATAAATGGGATGAGATTACTGATGTTGGAGGACCCTTCAAACTTAGCGGAAATGAACATTAGAAATTTAACACATATTCAGGTGCGTAGAATACAACTGTGACAATCTTTTAAGGAAAATATTTTTAATGTATGATAGGTACATTACAACAGCGCCACAACCATGGGGTTGCTCCCACGGTCCACTCTGTTGTCAGAAAATTACCAAATGTAACCGACATGGTACACCGCCCACCGAAGTGGGCCGCATCCCAATGTGATGCTAATGAATCAGTCCACCACGACAAGCCGAACACACATCGAGAGGATGATCAATAGTACCTAATGTAACTAATATTGCACTAATTATTGCGCATTATTATTTTTATTATAGACGTCTAAATAGTCAATTTCTTTAGACATTCTTGAATGGAAACTATAACCATGTGTAGCTTATTAATAAAAAAGACACAATCTACAAACTTAAAAAAACCTCTTATCTCAAATATTTTTAGATAATAACAGCCAAAATTCGCCAACTATTCATCATAGAATTAGTCAAGTTCCTTAGGAGTATTGGGTTGCCTCCACGAAAGCCATTGACGCATTGCACGATATTCAAATCACGGACGGGACCAAGTTGGGGTATACGAATAAATTGGAGCAGGTCAGTTCAGTGGAAATATCTCTTATATTATAATTTGAAAATGTGTTTGTTTGTCCTTGGTTTACGCAGTAACGAAGCAATTTTGTACAACCTAACGTTGAATGTCATCATCCTACAATAGATTATGTATAAATAGTAAAATTATTATTAAATATCATATTATTGCTTCAGATGTGACATTTTACATTGGATGAAAGTTATTAAGCCGGAACCACTTCATATGGATCATTGGGACTTAGTTTGGTAAGTTTCTTGTATCTATGTATGTTTCTAATATCTTGAGTATTAATTGAAATTATTCAAAATAACTTTAAAAGTAATTATATACATAGTTACTAGACTTGCAACGATTATTCGGCTATTATTCGGTATTCGGCCTATTCGGTTATTGTTATCCTATTCGGCCGAATATCAAATATTTATATTCTACTCAGCCGAATACCGAATACTTAAGTAATATGTTTTGCTGTAATCAGATAATTGGTAAAATATTGATTTATTTTATAAGAATATATCTTTCTTATTATTTTTAACGTAGTCATACGTACATAAACAAGTTATGTAACAAAAAAACTCTCCATATATAAATGTGTATGCACTAGCATTATCACAATTAAAATATAAAGAGTTGAAGATTATGATGCAGAAAAACTATTTTTTCTGCATTTTCAGGCAGTAGTTTACTCCTAGACAATCTCAGTTTCAGGAAAAAAACGCTTTGAATAAATACTACTTTATGGCGTCAAACAAGAAACAAACACGTTGATAGAAGTTTTCCCGCCATGTGCTGAGCGAATACTTTTGCATAATATTCGGCTATTCGGCCAGAAAGCCCACCGAATATTCGGTATTCGGCGTATGACCGAATATACTATTCATTGCAAATGTGATAATTACTAAAGTCGTTTTTTAATGTGTCATCAAAAATGCCATATAATAATTTGTTTATAATTATTTTATTCAAGGTATCAGACCCCAGACTTCCCAAAGGTTAAAATAGCAAGAGTTACAAAGAGACCAATAAAATACAGCTATATACCACATTATACACCTCAAGCAGACGTTTGTAGAGAGTTTTTGGTATGACATACATACGTTAATTGTAGTGCCATTACAGAGTAAGCGAAATGGCAGAGCGCTTGCTTAGTAAACAAAGTGAAGCGGGTTCAAATCCCGGGTCTCACACTTCTGATATCCTTATGTGCGAATCATTTCCAACATGATCACCACATGTCTTACGGTGAAGGAAAACATCGTGAGGAAACCTGCATGTCTGAGAGAATCTAGCAAGTTTTCAAAAGACATGTGAAATCCGCCTAGCACTTGGCCAGCGTGGTGAACTATGGTCTGATTCCGTTCATATTAAAGGGACGACCAAACCCAGCAGTGGGACGTTTAAAAGGGTATAATACCAACTTATAATTTAAATGTATAAACAATATATAAAATTAACATTTAAATTAAATTATCTTCATGGATTTTGTCACGGTTTTATTTTCATTTCTCGTACTCGACTTTTCGACTTTACAACAATGATTTTACGATGACGTTATGGTCTTTTGATAATTCATTTGAAGCCTCACTCTTAAAAACCAATAAAATTACTTCATCTGCGAAATTTGGCATCTTTTTGTTAAAATTTAAATCCCTTAGAAATAGTAATATAAACCCCCATTATACAGTTATTAAAAATCTAGATCTGAAACTAAAAATCGGTTTCTAACAAGCCAAACTAGATATCAAGATGTATTTTTTTTGTGTGTATTCTTATTAAAAAATACCATACATGTACAGAAATTTAAAGAAACTTTTTTTTTTAAATCGGTTAAAGATTTATGAATGTACCACTTTCAGGTTCCACGTAAATTCATCATCCAAAAAGATATACCAGAAAGTCACCAATTTATCTGGATGGAGAACATTCCAGAAGAATCTCTGAAGAAGGAAGAGAAGAAGGTAGTTCCAAAGAAGTCTAGACTAGCGCCGAAGAAAATCAGCCTAACTGGTTTGAAAGGGAAAGAATTTGTTTTAGCTAAAAGAAAAATGCCGAAGCCTAAATTCTTGCCGTAATCTAATTTAGTAAATTTTTTGAAATGTATATATAATTTTTTTCATTTGTAGTATTTTTCAGCTATATAACCGCATAAAGTTTATTTGCCTAATCTTAAAAGATGTTTTATATAGACTTCTGCATGGTTTAAAGTATGTTATATAATTTGAACTTCTACATATGGACTTATATATGGCGGAAGCACTCAACAGAATGCAAGGTATCCCGTCCCGGTGAATCCAAAAATCCTCTCTTGGGCTCCCCTACTACTATTCATATATTTAGTTTCTAGTTCAATTAGATTGATATATATATATATATATATATATATATATATATATATATATATAATTAACTCACAACGCCGGTATGTATGAAGTGCCTCTTTAATTTTTTTGATTTTCGATTAAAGCTACCAAATTTCAGGAATATAGCTCCAACAGTGTCCGAGTAAAATGGCTTTTACAAACGAACAGATAGACATGACGAAATTAAAAGCGTTAAATTTTTGCCCTTTGGCTACGAAACCCTAAAAAATACCATTAAATGGGAGTCGAACTTTCACTTACCTGTATAGCAATGATGATCGTGTCATTCTGGACTGGACCGAATATATTTTCGTTATAAATAGTCTGTGCTTCATTCACTCTGTGGATCGCTCGAAGTATATCTGTGACGTTTTTTGGCCCATATTTTTCGGTGGTATTCGCTAAAATTATAAAATATATTTATGTATGTATGTATGTGTATACACTAACATATCTAACATTCGTTAGTCCTTCACGCTCAAAGGCTGGACTATTTGGATAAAATTTAGTACACAGATAGACTATGACCTATAACCTCAGAATATATTAATAGAAAATCTATTCAACTATATTTAGCCTGTATCGGGATTCGAACCCAGAACCTTCAGATCCATTCAGACTATCACATATGCATAGCACAATGAAGCTTGAGAAATGACAGTAATTGAAACAATTGACTGCGGCGCAAACATTTAAATTGAAGATTTACAATTGGCCAATTAACAATAATAGATAAAAGTGAGTATCCAGAAAACAAGCTCCGATACGAGCTTTGGTAAAAAAATTCAATTTTGTCTGTGCAACTATGTAGTTCAGACAAATGCAAGTCTAAAATCTGTCGTCGGTCTTATTTTGTCCACTTTTGCATCGAAAACTAAAATATTTAAAAATCAAATCCTGCAGAGATAAAAAGTTTATTAATAACTAGCGGCTCACAAAAACAAATCTATCCCACGGGAACCGTACATTTTTCCGGGATAAAAAGTAGCCTATGTGTTTTTCTGATGTATGAACTATATTATTGTAAAGCTTCAATAAAATCCATTCAGTAGTTTTTGTGTGAAAGAGTAACAAACATCCATACATCTACACATCCAGATATCCATACATCCTCACAAACTTTCGCTTCTATATTATTTTTAGGATAATTTATTCATAAACTTACGTAATTACTAATTATATACAAATCCTTAAATAGTAAATTAGATCAATTAAAATTAGGTAAATGATCAACAATTACATTAGATCAGATATTTAATTTGCAACCTACCTTAGCTGAATAAACAACCTGTGTTTAATGTTAAACACATTAAAGTTTAGACTAATACTGTCAACTGTTTGCGTAATACTCAGACAATTAAGAAAAAAATCAAAAAGAAAAGGCTTTATATAGGTGATGAGGGTAAGATGGGAGTGATCGGTGCAACGGATGATGGGTGTAACGGCTGATTGGTGCAAAGGGTGATGGGTTCAATGGGTGATGGAATGTGTAATACTCACCACTAAAATTCCTAGGATGAACAGTCAGGTACTTATGTAGCTCAGGAGGCACTAACGCAAGAACTTGCTCCGACGTGTCATTTGAGTTCATCAGCTGTTCTGCAATAATACAAACATACACTTTAAATAAAACTATCTTTTCTAAGGCATATAATGCTCTTGAGACGTCTAAAGCCTTAGTCTCTCCCGTGACCATGTGAGGATCATGAGTGTCGGGAACCAAAGGTCTCGAAAAAACGCAGTACTATTATTAAAAAAGACGAGAAATAGATTCTAAATATGAGAAATAAGTGAACATAATAAGATGGCACTATATACACTCTCTCTAGCGTGAAAAAGAGCGTGAAGAAAAATATTTTATTTCATAATAACCTAATGGCTATTTGGACGTAGCCTGGCTATTTTTTTTTCAATTTAAGACCCATAAATGGTTATACAAAAAGGATAGAACCTTTGTGGCATTGGCAACATTCCGCCATTTTTATTTTTTTCTAAACTTGCAACACACGATAAAACGAGTACGTATACATGAATAGAAGATACTTTAATAAATATAAAACAACAGCTATCAGCAATTTAATGTCATAAAGTGTCACGTTTCCGATAAATTTCAAGGCAAATATAACCATGAGAAAACAATGACAAGTATAAAAATGAACTCGGCACGTGTTAATATGTCAGCTGTATTCAAAAATCGATACCTAAAATAAAACCAAAACCGAGTCGAATCTGTACATTAAATATTTTTTGGAAAATCTTATTGAAATAGTCATAATTATCGATACAGACGCCGAATCTATAGTTTTTACATATTTTGTCTGTCCGTAACCGCATCACGGAAAGCTCACTTTACTATGTTGTAATTTTTTTGAGCGGAACCCTAATTCTTTTTCTGAAATAAAAGTAGCCTAAGTTACTCCTTAGACAATCAGCTACGAGTACCTGCCAGTGATAGTTCCGTCAAAATCATTCCAGCCGTTTCGGAATTAGCCGGAACAAACTGACAGACAGACAGAGTTTTCAAAAATTTTATTATCCTTATAAGTATCTACGGCGAACCCAAGCGTGCCAGGGTGTGCCGCTTGTAATACATAACCATATTTACTTCAACCAAATATAACACAACCTAATAAATATGCATAATTTATGATTTTATTGGCCGATTTCACCAACGTCACCTAAGTTTAAGGGATCCCCTAAGCATGGTTAGGGGGCTGTTAGGGGCAGTTTCTGTTTCACCGTCAGTTAGGGGTCACCTAAATGTTAAAATGCCACCTAAATATAGGTATCAGAAATATGGGCTCTGGCGATGATAAAACGAAATTTAATTTAGGGGAAGTTAAGGGAAACTTTTAAGCTAGGGTTAAGTTAAGGTTAAGTTTTCACTTCTGTCGGCAGTCCTCGTGACTGCTTTTTATAAAAAAAAAAATTATTTAATGAGGTCTACAGTCCCAATAAGGTGTATAAAAATCAAGGCCCTGAGTCAACACGACAAAAAGATACGGGGAAATTTTCGCGAACACTTGTAAGTACCAAATTTTACCTTAATTTTCAATTTTTTTTTATTTTTCGGAATTTTTCCTTTACTTGTGCTGTAAGACCTTGCTTTTAACCAAAATTGACAATTCTGTCAAACGGAAGTAGCTATAGGTTTTGGGTCTAAAAACCTATGCGGTAGTTCCCGTTGACCTAGAATCACAAAATTTGGCACAACTAAAGGAATAAATCCAAAAAATAAAAAAAGTTGAAAATTAAAGTTAAACAGATTTCCTACAAATATGTACGGAACCCTCGGTGGGCGAGTCCGACTCGCACTTTTCCGGATTTTTTTCAACAGTAAATTTACTCATTTGACTCCATTGCAGTTTTTTCATACTTATTATTACCTACATATCTATCGGAAAAAGCTGTTTCGAACCAATCACGAACTTCCGTTGATAAAATTAATCAATTCTTGTTAAAGATAGATGTTATTAATAAAAAATACCATTCTTTTTATCAGGATTCCATTAGGATTCTAATATTTTAAATAAAACTATCTTTTCGGATTTTGTCGCGGAACAAACTCCGAAAAGATAGTTTTATTTAAAATGTCAAATATTCGCGTAAATCTAAGAAAGTATTAGGATTCTAATACTTTCCATTAAAATAAACATTAATCTATACAAATACTAATATATTAGAGATAAAGTTTGTGAGGTTGTGAGCTAGTGACGTTGTAGGGAGGGGGTAATCTCTGGATGTACTGAACCGATTTAGATGAAATTTGATAACAAGATAGTTTGAGACTCTGGGAAGGACATAGGATACTTTTTATCCCGGAAATCATCCCTTAAGGACGTGAAAATGGGGATGAAAGCTTGTTTGGGGAATCAACCTAGGTACGAACCCGAGCGAAGCGAGAGTAAGTCGCTAGTATTTACATAAACCTCTTAAATGCAACAAGTACAAACTTACAAACAAAAAAAATAATTAAATAACGAATTTCTAACATAAAAAACCGACTTCAAAATAGATAAGTAATTTCAAAAATAAATTTAAAGTAGAAAAAGAATAACTAAATCGATTCACATTTAAATTGAGAGCTTCCTCCTATTTTGAAATCGGTTATACAACTCACGCTACACTCTCCCTCATACACATTGTATTGCGGTCATACTAGTTTTTGTATGACACACACACACACACACACACACACACACACACACACACACACACACACACACACACACACACAAAAACACCCCAAATCAATACCAGTATGACCCATACAAAAAGCATAAATACATACATATTTTAAACAAATGAGACTCTAAATTTTCCTTAGCGTAGTTTCAAAGCTGTTATCACAAGATATAACATCGTCGACCAAAAAAGTACTAGATACACAATCAGCGACGAGAAATGTCCTCAACGCATCAGCGCTCATTTGAGCGCGCTTTTAATATATTTTTTTGTGAAAACAACTTTAATGATTGCGTTTAAGGTTCAATTTACATTGTTGTATATTTATTACAACTAGACCAATTACCTTACCTTACTTTTGCATGGAATTGTGTATCTAGTACTTTTTTGATCATGTATAACATAGTCAGTTACCATGGATTTTCCCAAATAGAATCCCACGGGAAAGATCACTGGGTCAGGATTAAAAACGGATTAAAAAAAAGGTACGAGTGTGGCCATCACAACACGGTACATATACATGTTGCTAACATTGTTTCAAATATATTTTTTTAAATATTTATCAACCAAAAGATACTACTATTCTTATTTTACTATATTTTTATTTTATAAATCCATACTTAATACTATTATTGCGAAAGCAACTCTGTTTGTTTGTTTGTTACCTTTTCTCGACTAAACGACTGAGCCGATTTAGATGAAATTTAGTATAGGGATAGTTTGAGACTCAGGTAGGGACATAGGATAGTTTTTACTCTAGAAATTATCCCTTTAGGCAGGGAAACGGAGGGGGAGGGGAGTAGGGCGAGGGAGGGTAGGGGAGGGTTCGCTTCGCTCGCTTTTTTATGGTATAGATCTATACTAATACTGTAAAGAAGAAAGATTTTGTTTGTTTGTACCGAATAAGCTCCGAAACTACGAACCTATATGATAAAAAGTGCAAAATATCGGTGGAAAATTAAAACGAATGAATGTGCTGTGTGCACTTTGGTTAGAACATAATGTGACGTCTGATGCTACGAGAATGTCAACAGATTTGTTTTGTTGACATTTACATGGCATTTGTAGTGTTTGATGAGAAATTTATGTTACTGCAGTTTTAGCATTTATGAGAATATAGTATGGTCAGGCAGTGGTAACTCAGTGGTAACGCGCTCGCTTGGGAAACCGAGTGAAGCGGGTTCAAATTCCGGGTCTCTAATATTTCACGTGCGAATCATTTCCAACATAATTACCACTTGTCTTACGGTGAAGGAAAACACTATGAAAACTACATGTCTGAAAGAACCTAGCAAGTTTTCGAAAGATATATGTGAAGTACACCTGTATTTGGCCAGCGTGGTGGACTATGGCCTGATCCCCCTCGTATTGAAGGGAGGCCCACCCCCAGCAGTGGGACGTTAAAGAGGGCTGAATACACATAATATATAACAATAATTTAGGAATCATAGATTTTGTTGTAATGTTAGTATCTATCAAAGTTAGAAGACGCGCATATTTTGTTTTTTTTTCATTTCTTTAAAAATAAGTTGGCTTAACTTATACAGCTTATCTTACTTTACCTATAAGGAAAACCCGTATTATTTAGTTTTACAATAATTAATTTATATTAATTTATTCTGACAAAAGGCAATAATAGAAATTAAGTTTATCGTACCATACGAAAAACACTTGGAACAGTAATTTGTGAATTCTATTAGAATCTAGTTTTTTCTTATCGAACGTATTATTTTTGGAAGTTATTTATATATACTTCATTTGGGACGTTTGGAAATAAGTATGAGAGTAAAATTTTTACTATGCTCACACCGACAACTAAAAAGCGACATGATAAAGTTAGCTGATAACTGTTTGTTGCCTTGGTAACCGTTGTTATTGTCTAACAAATGATATATAATATTATATTCTTTCCCTAAATTATATTCAATAAATATATGATTGTAATACGCCTAATATGCCTTATTTAATTATCTTATTAATTTATCATTCCTTTTACAAACAGAGAGTTGTGACATACGGGATGAAATCTTTAGCTATTTTTGTTCTGTTACGCCAAAGAAGTATAACCTCTTACGTGCGTACAGAAGTACACACAAATGTTTTTTTTTAATTTAGACTTACCTTCCTCGTATGGTTTCACACTACACTTGCTTAATATAAACCTAACAGAAATATATATGTTACTCCAGGTAATTTATCTACTACTAATCTATACATATATAATAAAATTCTAACAGAGTCGAATCCGTACATTAAATATTTTTTGGAAAATCTTAATGAAACAGACATTATTATACAGAGAGTCCGAATCTATACTTTTTAGAATTTTTGTCTGTCTGTTACCGCATCATGGAAAACTACTGGAGGGATTTTGATGAAATTTGGTATGGTGATAGCTGGTTATCCGGATCAACATATAGGATACTTTTTACTGCGGAAAATTATCTCATCTCTGAGAAATCTATACTAAACGTAAAACGTAAGTAGGGATGAACCCGAGCAGAACGATGGTGAGTCGCTAGTAAACTATATATATGCCCAAATCTCACCCAGATGAGTTCAGCATTTCGCCCAGACACACCCAATTTTAACATTATTGACATACATTTAACACATGAACAAAAAAAAACATTTAAAAAACAAAACTAAAAAAATAACCTGTCACTGGCAATAACGATGATTCTGTACTATAATCTGAAAAGTGTAAAATAAATTATTTTTCTTTAAAAATAAGATACTAATTTCGTAAAGGATAACTGTCCAATTGCCTTTAATAGCGTGAGTTGGTAGTACTATATGTATATAATATATATGTATGTAGATAAAGTGTGTAGTGGTAGCCCAGTGGTAACGCGCTCGCTTGGGAAACCGAGTGAAGCGGGTTCGAATTCCGGATGTCGCACCTCTGATATTCTCATGTGCGAATCATTTCTAACATGATGACCACTTGTCTTACGGTGCAGGAAAACATCGTGAGGCAACCTGCATGTCTGAGAGAACCTAGCAAGTTTTCGAAAGACATGTGCAGTCCACCAACCCGCACTTGGCCAGCGTGGTGGACTATGGCCTGATCCCCCTCGTATTGAAGGGAGGCCCACCCCCAGCAGTGGGACGTTAAAAAGGACTGAATACAAGAGATAAATAAATGTAGATCTGTTTATGAAGAAATAATTCAGATGTTTCTTTACAAGTGCATGCTATCGAGTTTCCGAGCGCTGATAACACGATATTCTGTCGATGACCACTCAGTAAATACATCCGTCCGATCAAATAAGCTTGTTCATTTTTTGACGACACATTTAGCTCAGTGATCCTACTTACTATGCCAGTCGTCGCGGGTTCGAGTCCCGGTGGCTGTATTCATTTGTGTGATGAGCACGAATGTTTGTACTCCAGCCATGGGTGTTTATATTTATAATATGTTTATGTATATATTTAAATTTATATATGGGTAGTGTATCAACTACCTGGTATCCATAACACAAGCCTCGTAGCTTAACATGGAACTGATGGTGCCGTGTGTTAATGTCTCAACATATTTATTTATTTATTTATTATTATACTAATATTATGAATGTGAAAGTGTGTTTGTTTGTCCTTCTTTCACGTCGAAACAGAATGACGGATTGGCATGATTTTTTGTGTGGAGACAGTTGGAGGGCTGGAGAGTGACATAGTTTACTGTTTACCGCTGAAGATTATCTCATACCCACGGGAGAACACGTTATAATACAAACACATATTTATGATCAGAATGACTTGAAACTTAGTATTTTCTTCAATACAAAAAATAAATTCATCAAAATTCATCTCATAAGGGGGTCAAATAGGGGCATGAATGTTTGTGTGAAACCTATCTTTTTAGAATATTTTTTTTGGTAGTTTTAGCGCGAGCGAAGCCGCAAGTTCTGCTAGTGTATTATGTAAAGGAATTATATAAAGACACTTTATAGGAATGGACATTGTTTTTAAACTTATAACAAAAGAATTGCTAAAAAGCCCGTCAGTGTTATGACAAAATTTTACAATCATTTCACCAAAATATTGAATAATATTTTAGACTAGCGACTCATCCTCGCTCCGCTCGAGTTCGTCCCTATTCCTCATAGATGAGATATTTTAAAATGTATCCTATATGCTGACCCGGATAACCAGCTATCATCATAGCAAATTTCATCAAAATCTGTCCAATGGTTTTCTCGTGGTGCGTTCCCAGACAGATAGACAGACAGACAAAAATTCTAAAAACCATAGAAACGGCCCCTGTATCGATAATAATGACTATTTCAATAAGAATTCAAAAAAAAATTAATATACAGATTCGACTCAGCTAGAATTTTACTATACATACATATAAATGTATAGATTTGTATACATTTACGAAATATCAGAAACTAACAAGCTAACCTCGTATAGTTCGTCTCCATTCCATTTTTATTATTTTGTTATACATTTTTTTCCTTTATTTCAAACCTAAACGGCAGCGCACGCCGATAAAACAACTGAAAGGTCAGTATTTCGACTTCAATTAAAGTTATTATAATTTCTGACAGTTAATACATTTTTATCGTAACAAAAAATAACCTATATCACTAGCGAAAGTATTATAAGAATCGGATCAATAGTTTTAGAGATTGACCTTTACATACAAACTTTACCTCTTTATAATATAAGTATAGATATCGCATACAAAAATTAAAATTCAAAGATGTTCTCATTCGTTTATTTAATCAAAAGGTAGTTTTGACCAAATACAACTGTTGAGGTCGTACCACACTACAGTACCGATCAGTCCGTTTTCGGTACGATCGGTCTGGTTAAAGTATTTTTATACAAGAAACGTTGCTGGAGTGTGGTTATACTCTTACTGAATGCACTTTTTTTATGGTGCTCAGTGATAATCGAGACCTGATGGAAAGTGGTACCTACCTGTCAACCATAGCACCTACGGTTCATACCCTTAGGTTTTGTGTAACAAAAATGCAGAACCGCAAGTGCGTTGTCACTGTGAGGACTAAGATGTTATGCATCTGTCTGTGACCGCATCACGAGAAAACGACTGGACAGATTTTGATGAAATTTGGATGATGATAGCTGGTTATCCGGATCAACATATAGAATACATTTTTTACGCCGTAGCTTCCACACAGCCAGACTACACTGACGATTATAAAAAAAAACTATCGACTCACCCTCGCTTCGCTCGCGTTCATCCCTAGCTTGCTTTCCAATACAAACTTTCATCCCCATTTTCAGCCCCTAAGGGATGATTTCCGGGATAAAAAGTATCCTACGTCCCTCCCAGGGTCTCAAACTATCTTATTAACAAATTTCATCTAAATCGGTTCAGTAGGTCCAGAGATTATCCTCTACAACCTCACAAACTTACAAACTTTACCTCTTTATAATATTAGTATAGATGTATGCAAAAGTACTGAATATAAGTAGGTATATATGCAAAGAATATCTCAAAGTTTTATTAGTGTCATCCTACATGATTCGTTTAATGAATAATTCATCAACTAAATCCTACGTGACATTGATATAAATATGTTGCAAGATAATAAAAAATGTAAACATTTCCAATGCTGAAACATGGGATTAGACTAGATAACATTTTACATTTGCTATCTTCATCTATACATATAATAAAAGTGTAACTGATCGCTGTCTGTACATGGAAGATATTTGAGGAAAACTATTATTAGGGGTCTTTATTAACGCAATAGAATCCAAATGATTTTTATAATTTTTGTCTGTTTGTCTGTGCGTTTTTGCGCGCTAATCTCAGAAACGGCTAAACCAATTTAGGTGTGGTTTTCACTAATGTTTTGTGGTAAGCTAAAGTTGTTTTATTTCAATCTGTTCATAAATAAATAAAATATGTCAATTGTAATATTGTAAAAAACATATTCTAATAAAAATGAATGATTACGTTTTAACTTCAAAGATTCGTTGAATTCAAATTTCGTTTAAAACTATTGATTCGAACTTTAGAAGTACATTTTTTTGTAATTTATATTTTAAAAAAAAACGAACACACCTCACAATTAGTAAAGTTATGGCGTAACATACATACAAAAATACATCCCAACCGAGGACCTTCTTATTTCTTTATTATCTAATATTATTATATTCTTTCATTCTTCTTATTTGAAATCTATAAAAAAAATGTATGAAAGTGACATAATAAACTAAGCCACGTCGCACTTTGAATATGTCATTATTATATACATATTTTAATTTTAAAGTTTTCTATTAGCGATATCGATTGTAGAAAGACAACTGTAGATACATCCAATGCCAAAATCTCCTGAAGCCTTCAAGACCCGAAAAAAAAGCCAAAATGTTATCCTGCAAAATTAAGTCCGGTGACGTTCAAAGCCAGCAGAAACCAACAGCCATGTCATGATATTATCCGGAAAAATGGAGAAGTTCCTCTGACTTACCCACATCCTTATCCATGATACCACTGGAAGCTGACAGCATAATCTGGATCCAAACGCAGAACAGCCCCAGAATAACCAGTACTCGGAGAATTGATGCATATTTTAGTCGGGGCATTTTCACTTTATACGCATTTTAGTCGTCAACTGATCGCATTAGGCCTGATTTCATGGTAGACGTTTCATTGTTCTAATTCTGAAACAATAAAAAAATTATTGTACACGTATTTCATATTTCCATTTAATATAATCAAATTCTTACTACCTACTAATATTATAAATGCGAATGTTTGTTTGTTACCTCTCAATAATAAAAGGTGTTAACCAATCAGGATATATATAAATATAAAAAAATCAAACAGACCACTCATTTTGGGTCCAAACGTCAAAGTGCCGGCCAACGAAAAATGTGCACAATGTGAACTCAAGTCTTTATTGATAAATAAGAAAAAGATTAATAAAAATCAAGTTAAATATTTGAAATATATAAATATACTAGCAGCCCGCCCTCGCTCCGCTCGGGTTCGTCCTCAGGAAAGTTTTAACATATAGTACAAATTTCTCAGAGATGAAATATTTTCCCGCAGTCAAAAGTATTATAATGTTGACCCAGATAACCAGCTATCATCCATACCAAATTTCATCAAAATCTATCCAGTGGTTTTCTCGTGACGAGTTCCCAGACAGACAGACAGACAGACAGACAGACAAAAATTCTAAAAACTATAGATTCGGCCTCTGTATCGATAATAATGTTTATTTCAATAAGATTTTCCAAAAAATATCTAATGTGCAGATTCGGCTTAGTTACAATTTTATTATATGTATAGATGTAATAATTTTAATGTGCCAGTTAGAAAAATCTTGTACGTGACAGTTCTTGATTTGTCCCCTATACACTTCAAATGCGAGTTAGTTTGTAATTTTCAACACACTTTTTATCAGTTTCACTTACAACTATGAGTATGTATATAAACAAACTGAAGACGATTTTAACCCACTTCTAATTGTCATTTCAATATGAAAGGTTGTAATAATAAATTGTGATAATCCATACTAATATTATAAATGTGTTGTTTGTTTGTTTGTCCTTTTTTCACGTCGAAACAGAGTGACGGATTGACGTACTTTTTACCGCGTGAGATTATCTCATTCCTACGGGATTAATACAACCTAAAACAACTCATCATACCTATTTATACATATAATAAAACTCTGAGTAGAATCTATACATTAAATATTTATTGGAAAATGTTATTGAAATAGTCATTATTATCGATATTGAGGCCGAATCGACAGTTTTAGAATTTTTGTCTGTCTGTCTGTGTGTCTGTCTGTCTGTCTGTCTGTGTGTACCGCATCACGACAAAACCACTGGACAGATTTTGATGAAATTTGGTATGATGATAGCTGGTTATTCGGGTCAACATATAGGATACTTTTTACAGCGGAAAAATATGTTATCTCTGAGAAATCTATACAAAATGTTAAAACGTAACTAGAGACAAACCCGAGCGGAGCGGGAGTGAGTCGCTAGTGTATATATAATATTTTAGTCTATCTATTCCATACTAACCGTTAAAACGTACCTAGGGACGAACCCGACCGAAACGAGAGTGAGCCGCTAGTAACAATAATTTGATACTATCGACCTGATTTGATGATGAAGCCAGTAGAAACTCTTCAATGGCTAGTAGTAAAATCTTCGAATGGGACGCATTTAATTCATTTGTCTATTTGTTAATTGTTTTTTTCTTATGTTGGGATATACAAGTGCATTGTATTGCATGCGTAAATACTCATACCATCTTTCTTCTAATATATAAAATTTCCATGTCACAATGTTAGTTACCGTACTCCTCCGAAACGGCTTTACCGATTATTACCAAATTTTATATGCGTATTCAGTAGGTCTGAGAATCGGCTACTATCTATTTTCCATACCCCTAAGTGATAAGGATAAGGGTGGTCCTCCCAGACCCCACCCCAGGGACGAACCCGAGCGGAGCGAGGGTGAGTCGCTAGTCTATATATAGATGGTTATATGTCATTCACTGGCACGCCACGCCTCATTAAGATATGAAAGGTTCCCTTGATATTTAGTGTGTAGCACTGGCTTTTCTAGCCGTTGGATCTCCACATAAGCCCCTGTATATACAGTTGATACGCGTAGATGGATATCCCAATGTAAAAAAATACCGTTAAGAGTGAAAAAGAAACAAACACACTCGCATATAAAGTTTCTTATTTCTATTTATCATATTAATATGATTATATTTGACGACATGTTTGGCTCAGTTTGTAGTGACCCTACTTGCTGTGCCAGCGGTCGCGGGACCGAGTCCCGCTGGGGGCATTCATTTGTGTGATGAGCACGAATGTTTGTACTCTAGTCATGGGTGTTTATATTTATTAATATGTTTGTATTTAAAGTTATATATGTGTAGTGTATCAACTATCTGGTATCCATAACACAGGCCTCGTAGCTTACCATGGAACTAGATGGCGCTGTGTCTTAATGTCCCAACATATTTATTTAGTTATTTATTATTATCTAACACAGCAAACATAGCCAAGAAACGTAGTTATGCCAATTTTACAGTACCGCACTAACCAATTCGTCCTTGTACGCTAAATGTTAAAATTATGAAAATTGTCTACATCGCTGTAAAACAATGCGTGTCAAATTTCAAACTAATTAATGTTTATTAAAAAAAATTCACTTGCTATTGTACACCTCGGTTGTCTAGTGGCTAGCATGTACGACTGCAAATCCGGAGGTCTCAGGAGGTCTCCGGAGGTCCTTTTTTTTATTCGTGGGGAAACCCCTTTATGGGTGTTCGAGCGCGAAGGACGCACGGGGTATGTGGGACTCCCGTAGCAAGAAGCGCGACAGACTACCCACTAAAACCACCACGGTGATCCCTATCGCAAGAGACAGAGCCACGCGATCGCTTGTGCGTTCGATCGCGACAAATCCGGAGGTCCTGGGTTCGAGCTCGAGGAGATATGGTCCTTTAACTCTTATATTTTGGATATTTTGGTGGAACGACAATTTGACATGACCAGTGATAGATCAGAAGCAGGATCAACGGCTTTACGTCTCTCGGAAAGGCTCAAAGGCATAACACTACTAACTTCCCAAATTCGAGATTTTTATGACAGAGAATATTATGATAAGAAAATCCAGAACTATTTCAGTCCAATCCTGGACTTGAACCTATGACCTTACCACCTGCATACATACAGGTGGCTATGTGGGACTCACCGGCTTTAAAGAAGCCAGTACTACCAACAAAAACCCAACAGAACCTTCCTCATCTTAATGGAACGTCGCAAGATCACTTACGCACTCAACCGACGCCGAGGTACGAGAACGTAAGACGTAGTTTTTTAAGCTTGTGAGTTTGTTTGTAGAAAGTAATCTCTGGAAGTACTGAACCGATTTAGATGAAATTTGGTAACAAGATAGTTTGAGACCCTGGGAAGACCATAGGTTTTTTAGTTTTTATTCCGGAAATCATCATCAGATTTGTATGAGGAATCTACTTTGAAACGAACCCGAGCCAAGCGAGGGAGAGTCGCTAGTCAGATATAAACGGATTCAATTTAAAAGCCAATGCAAGAACTCTAGTCCAAAAATAACAAGCAAAAACGTAGAAAATAATTAGTTAAAATACCTTTACGCTCAAACTGGCATATTTCGTAAATGTGCAAACATAAAATGCCAACAGCAAACAAAGAAAATACTGATCGTGCATTAAAATGTCAAAACAAACTTATAGGTATTTAGGTTCCTGTAATATTATGTCAAACAAAATAATCTCTTTGAATAATTTTAAATTAAAAAAAATATTAGAATTTTAATAATGGCAACACCAAACTAAATAATATCTTATATTTAAACTTATTAAAAGTACCAAAATATTTTAGATTAAATTTAACAAGTTTATATGTTTATAATATATTGTATTTATTTCGTTTTACTTATGCATTATCTATACATAGAATAAAATTGTAACAGAGTCGAATCCGTACATTAAATATTTTTTGGAAAATCTTTTTGAAATATTCATCATTATCAACAGAGGCCGAATCTATAGTTTTTACAATTTTAGTCTGTCCGTTTGTCTGGGAACGCATCACGAGAAAACCACTGGACAGATTTTGATGATATTTGGTATGATGATAGCTGGTTATTCGGATCAACATATAGGATGAAAATATCTCTGAGAAATCTATACTAAGTGTTAAAACGTAACTAGCGAAGCGAGGGTGAGTCGCTTGTTATTATATATATTTTCTTATAGTTTCTCTGCACTTTCTCTCTCTGTCCCGCTACTTAACGCTATTTCCCACATACATGGGTTAACTGTCACGTCACATTCGATATATTTTTTTCAACCGACTTCAAAAAGGAGAAGGTTCTCAATTCGACTGTATTTTTTTTAATGTTTTTTACCTCAGAACTCCGTCATTTATTAACCGATTTGGACAATTTTTGTGTTGTTTGAAAGTGTATACTTTCAGATTGGTCCCATTTAAATTTCAAAAATAAAAATACCACCCCTAAGGGTGGAAAAATTGTCATATTGACTTGAAACTTTGCAAGTGTTTCTATTTCCGTTGATAGTACAGTGGTTCGGTATTGTTGACCTGATCTGATGGTAAGGCCAGAAGGTGGATAGGTGGAACTCTTCAACGGCTAATAGTAGATACTTTGAGTTTGGGCTTATTTTGTTTGATTTGACAAACCTAACACGTTAGAATTCTTACTTTGCTACTACTGTCTACACTAAAAAAGGAAATTTAAAAACTTTTTAACAAAAAAATAAAAACCGATTTCAAACAAAAGCACTAAAAAGTAAAAAATAACTGATTGATAGTTTTCATTTACTATACATACCTAATCAAATATTTTCGAAGTCGGTGTGCTTTGGCTAATTAAAGCCTACCTATTAAATACATACCTAATCAAATATTTTCGAAATCGGTGCCAGCCCATACAAAGCAAAGCACACCGACTTCGAAAATATCTGATTATGTATCTTACATAGATAGTAAATGAAAACTATCAATCAGTTATTTTTTACTTTTTAGTGCTTTTGTTTGAAGTCG